TGATTTTATAATGATCAGTATTATATTGAGTTATAAAAGATGATTTAAAGTTTTGGTTACTTTTATTCACACTACCCTTATCTTCTAACAATGAACTACGCTGTACCGAACTGATGGAACGAATTTCTTTATCCAGAGAATTTTTTTTGTAGCCTCTATCCATAAGCTTTTTCTTGATATATGATGATTGGATCGCGTAGGACCATACCGTTTTCTCTTTTATTATACTTTATATTGATGGTGATTATTCACTTTTTATCAATAAATACATCTTTTTCTACCATTGCCCGTTTGGAGTCCTGAGTATTATTAAGGAAGTCTCAAGGAGCCAAGGGATCACCAACTCCCCACTTCAACCAGGGGAGGCACCTTATGAGCAATAAATTCTACCCAATTCTGTGAGTGCATCTGTATTTAGCGCATAACAATGTGTTAATTGTACTTCACTATTTTGTATATTCTTATGTTCCTTTTAGATAAATTTTCAGCCGTATCCCGAAGTTTTGTGTTGCTTGTATATATCCAAGGGAGCCTTCTCCCCACTTATGTGAGAAGATTTTGGCTTATTATTTTTTCCTATGTCTAGAGCACAGCCTCTTAAAGGGGCAGTTGACATAATGAGCAGAGACTAGGTAACCAATAAAGTGGAAGAGGTGCGAACCTCTCCCCTAAAAACACATCTCACCATGTCCCCAGTAAGACCGTGGATACACATCATAGTGTTTACCACTGTCTCCTTGTTTCTTAATCCATTTTCTTGTTACTCTGTTTATGATCCTGTTCTGCCTGCAATTGGCTTCCCTGACTATGAGTTTGCTAGAACCTATTTGGTACATTTCTGCTACCTGGGCTCCTCCTGTCAAAACTGTAACACATATTTATTACAGCCATACATCCAGTGAGGGCTGAACAGTGGGTGGCCAGGGATAAACTGTTAGAAAATGGTTTCATACTGAAATGAACAGCGCCAGAGGACTCCAGGGACTATAACCAATTCAATAAGATGACATTACAGTGACTATAGTGTGCCCTTAAGCATTGAGGGTTGCTGCGTAATAAGTAGCGGCAAGGTTGGAAACCAGTCGCTAATTTGCTACTGGTGAAATTGTCAAGTGCAAAGGAAGGAGTTTATAACAATGACTGACAGGGAGTCAAGATAGGGCAGGTGAGTTCACAGTAAATACAAATGTGTTTTTTTTATTTCCCCATGTAACGTACATCTATTTTTCAAACATTGCAAACATATTCATAATAAATGAATAATAAACTACAATAAAATACAAATGTTTGCATTTTGTTGCTTTTCTATTTTGTTTCTTCATTTAGCTTTCAGTTCTTTATTAACAATGTGAGAACAATTGTGGCGAAAGCTCAAGTATAGTAGCCAAATTATAATAATCAAATGTAAAAATAAATAAAAATGGTTCACCATCATAATCAAATACACACTTTTAGACACCACCCTCTTAACCACACAGGGGCCCTCATTCACATATACAGCATGCCTCCCAAAAGTCCCAGGTCTGGCAGGACCATCCTGGGCTGGCATCCATGGTGACCCAGAATCACGTGCTATGCTCTAGCACCAATCATACAGCACTACAGAAGCACACTTTGCTCTGAGTAGAACTTGATATGGAGGATTACTCGTTCCCATCCCCTTCCCAGCAAAGGGTGTTGCTTTATGCCACCCACATCTGTCAAGTTTATAGAGACTACTTTGTCTTATGTATTTTTCTTGGCAATCGATGGCGCTTAAGGCAAGCTTCACTCTTTGTTAGCTTGACCAATGAAGTGGAGCTAAGTCCACCATTTTGTCAGGTTTGTCAAGCGTAGAAAAAAAATATATATATAAGACAAAATATCTTATGCTTTAAAGAGAAATAGTTTAGAAATGAAGAAGACCGATTTTGAAATAGTAAGAGAAGAGGTAACAGTAGAATAAAGGTAAGTTTGAGGTGACAGAGACAATAAATAATAATAATAATAATAATAGGCACTGAAACAATTGAATGTCTTTATTGAAAAAATTTTAAAAAAATAACTAACTTCAATAATTATTAATTTTTTTTTTTTAAACTGTATAACTTGCTCACATAACATTGCCTGCCATGTAACACCCAGGAACAAAATGCACAGCACCACCTTTAAATAACCCATATAAGACAACAATAATAAAATGTATGGTCTATTTATCTAAGTAGGCAAATTAAAATGCCAGATAAAGAGGGGGGGGAGGCTACCTAAATTGCACAGTTCAACTTTCATTTTACTTTTTTGGCAGTCCGCAAAGGCAATTACATGCATATTCTCCACTCGTGTTGAACTGCTGTAGCAGTGCATGTGAAGTTGGTTGGCTCATGCTATGCATAGCTCCAACATGACAATGTGGCAAGCTAAAGAAGCAAAATTTGGGGTGAACTATTCCATTCCTTATTGCCACATACAGACAATGGACTAAGTGTCCCTTGTCTGTTTAGGAAATGTGCAGGCACCTATTACTCACACTGAAAATGACAACCTTTCCCTGCATTAAAAGATTAAAATTTCTCTTTTTATCTGCAAGACTAGAAGCAGAGCAATAAACATCAACCTCAAATTTATGGTTGCTCTATTTTTACTGGTATAATAGCGATAATTCAGCCCATAGCAACGGGTACCATTTACACAGAATTCACACATATTACCATCATTCATAAAAGCCATCTCTAATGGATGTTTTGTTGTTTATTGGACTACAAAATATGCTGCTGGAACAATTGGAAAATGATAGATAGTAATTTAGTCTTTCAGAGTTTTCTGAGGCTCTATTTGGAGCTAATGGCCAGACACCACAGGAAGCTAAGGAAAACTTGTGAGAAGGCTTTTCAAGGCACAAACGGAATGTGATGTTTCAGGAAAACAGGTAAGAAGAAGCAGTTAGATTTTGTCATTATGTCTTTGAATGAGAGTGATGGATGATCAAATTGAACTGGAAAGTAAAAAAAAAAAAAAAAATGTTTTTCTAGATGCACGCTGGCAACTCAATTACATGTTACATCTGCCCTATATTTGTGTTTTGAAGGCTACAATTGCAGTATTCTTTGCTATATTGAGGTTTCCATGGATAATGCACTACTTTGTAGGTTCTACTAATATATAGAAAGACTTCTCACATAAACCTCAGAACATCAGGCATTAAGACAAAGTGACAGTAATCCTGTTATTCCCATTCAGCAAGTTTATATATAAATACTATTCAACTCAATGCATATGAGCACAGAGAGTGATATATTTCACTAGAATATAGACCATATCCGAGTGTCATACATCCCTAGATATATAGTGTTCTAGCATGTGCCTCTCACCAGAATATATGCTTTATTATGGTTTCATTCATCCACAGATATAGGGTTATGATTCATGGTTCTTATTTCAAATGACATAAATTGATGCAGACACGGCGGCAAAATACATTTCAATATTTAGCTTACTACTACTAATAATAATAATAATTTATGTTTCTTCACTTATAGAAAACTTCCACATTGTTCTAACATTAGTATACTCGTGTATAACCACACACTGTACCAGGGCAGCTTTCAGCACTCCAGATGTTATGCACTACATCTCCCCTAATGCTTTGCCAGCATTGGCATGCATTATGACTGTAAGACTATGATGGGAGAAGCAGTCCACAACATCTGGCATGACGAAGGTTGCCTACCCTGCTCTATAGAAATATGTCTATTTTGTTCAATGTAGAATGCAATCTATTGCACAACTGATTAGAATGATTGACAAGGGGCAAATATTTAAAATAACTTTCCATTGTATGCAAACATTTAAAACCAACAAAAGTCACGTGTGTAGTATATCAATGCGGCTGAGAATGAGCTTGACTATCCAGGTGTTGGGGAAGTTTCTGGGGTTTGTCTAGCGTCTCCCAAGAGACATTGCACAAAAATGAACACATACACTTCTCACAAGTAGAACACTTCAATCACCACACTGATGGTACATATATATATATATATATATATATATATATATATATATATATATATATATATATATATATATAAAATAAATAAATAATAGCACTCCCAGGACTTAATGAATATAGTGAAAAAAATATACTTAGCTTTTATTAAATGACAGCCACATGAAAAATCAACGTTTCAGTCCCTATGTGGAACTTTCGTGACGAAAGTTCCACATAGGGACTGAAACGTTGATTTTTCATGTGGCTGTCATTTAATAAAAGCTAAGTATATTTTTTTCACTATATTCATTAAGTCCTGGGAGTGCTATTATTTATTTATTTTTTCTATAAATGTTGCTGATAAGCACCGGGCCAAAGTCTGCTCTAATAGGAGTGCAAGCATTTGGATATTATATATATATATCAACGCAATGGAATAACAGATTTATTATTTTTTTTGCATTTCCACACACAGACACATTTTGCTTTCATGAACCATCATATAATACAGACAGATATTTCCGCTGTAACTAATAAACTCTAAAGTTACACACAAATACACTAGTGCATTCACATATTTGCAATACGCAAACAATACAATCCTACATGCACAACATTAACGTGCACTTCGCTTAAATACATCCTTGTGTTCTCACATACTAACACTGCACACAAATACATGCACTGTACATGCAAACACATACATTCACACTAGCATGCAATCACAGAAGGATGCACATTCAGCCTGAAAATGCACATTTGGGTTCACACTCATGCAAACACACTCAAATAGAAACATGTATTCAATCAAATGCATCCACTCTGTACTTTCCCCCAAAATGTATTTAATAATTTCTATGTAAACGTATAACAATGTTTCTCTGTGAATGAATAACATTGTTTGCCAATCATGACTTTATGATATTACACTTCCCAGAAACGTATTCACTTAGCAGGGTTTTTGCGGATGGGACTGAGACTTTGCTGCTCCTCCTTTCCTGCAGGTGTCGCTGTGGTATTGTACAGTGTAGAAGTCAGTCTCTCTCTCTCTCCCGCACTTTGTGCTCCGAATAGCTGTGTGTACTTGGTGTGTTGGTGCAGGTGAGCTGCTGTCTATGGGCCCCTGTGCTAATGTAGGAGCACCCCCGGGGCAGGGGTTAATGTAGCTGGCAGAGTGGCAGGAGACACATGGCATTGTTAATTGGGCTGAGATTCACAGCGAGCACAGTGATTCCCCAGTGGGCAGCGTTTACAGTGTATAGAACTTGCTACAATACACCTAACAGTATGTGATGCTTCTAATAATTCTATTTATATATTAAATTATATCAATGTTCCACGTTCCTTCGGGCAAACTGCCCTCTAGTCTGGCTAGTTGCTGGCAGCCCTGTGTATTGGTAAATGAGTGCCAGAGGTATAAAGTTTGTTATTAGGGGGAGTGGCACTGTCAGTATGTAGCTCATGGCTAAACATAGCAGGACACCAGCCTCTCACTCTGAATTGTGCTGCATAACATATGAGATTAGTCACTGGTACACAGGTCTGAGTTATATTTTTTTCCTAGGAGACTTCCACTTCTGCCGATATGGGGTCCATTCACTTGCCAGTGAACTGGGTTATTCGCTAACTTGTGAAATGCCTGGAATTCAAAGTGAATTTCAAACTTTAGGCCAAAATTATACAAACTGGAAACATACCTACGTTTTTCCATGTTGGCTATTTGGCCCAAAATTTGAAATTCACTTTGAATTCTAAGCAATTTATACTTTAGTGAGTAACCCTGCGTGTCAAAAATGGCACACGTGGGAAAATTCTTCAACCCTGCTGTACCAATAGCTTGGCTATTTTATTAAAATGTTAAAATAATTTCAATTTACTGATCAGTGAATAAACCCCTATATGTGCTTACATGTTTAACATACACTATATGGTCAAAAGAATTGGGACACTTAAACAATTCACCAACAGGGACTTTTTACATAGCATTCTAGATACATAGACATTGAGATGTAGTTGGACTTCCCTTTGCAGCTATCACAGTTTCCACTCTAGTGGAAGGTCTCTGTTCCAGTTCATCCTAAAGGGTTTTTAGTGGAGATGAGGTCAGGGCTCTGTGCGGGCCAGTCAACTTCTTCCACACCAAACTCATCCAACCATGTCTTTATGGACCTTGCTTTGAGCACTAGGCACAGTCATGCTGAATAGAAAAGTTCCTTTCCCAAACTGTTCCCACAAAGTTGGAACCATAACATTGTCCAAAATGTATTGGTACGCTTACGCTGAAGCACTAAAGAGACACTAGTCACCCAGACCACTTCATCTGATTGAAGTGGTCTGGGTGCAGTGTCCCTGTCCCACTTAGTCCTGCAATATAAATCATTGCAGTTTTAGAGAAACTGCAATGATTACCTTGCAGGACTATAACTACCTCCATTGACTGTCAGACAGCTACTAGAGGCACTTACCGCATCCTATGGAGAGGGCCTAATGTACTCGTAGTGTATGTGCATTAGGCTCCCCTGTTGGAGGACGCAGAGTGCTGACCCAGCGTCGAGGGACATTGGTCCTGGAATAGAGTAAGTGACTACATTTTTTTTTTCCCCCTTTCATTTACATGCCAATGGAATACAGATTTGTATTCCCAACATAGAATCCATTTTCAGATTTCCCTTCACTGGTAGTATGAAGCCTAGCCCAACCCCTGAAAGATAGACCCGTAAGATTATCCCACTTCCACCCCACAGTATGTTGCTTGTACGTAGGTGCAAAGGAAGCCCTTCAGAGTTTTCTTAATGAGTGTTCCATTAAGAGATGTGTCCCAATACTTTTCTCCATATAGTGCAACTCCTCAGTCTTTAGGAACCAAATCCCTTTGTCAGTCATCCATGTACCTTATTTCTAAAATATTTGCAAAATGCATGATTACATTGATGCATTTATATTTTTATGTTTAGAGTGTTCCAGAGTATTTCCAGTAGAGTGCTTGTCTAGCTTAGTTTAGACATAAAATTCTGTTTGTGAGTATTGTAGGTATAAGCAAAGGTACTGGTAGTTCTTACTTTGAGCCGGGTCCGTTCTTACAACTTGTTCATAGAATAAATTGGTCGGAAAGTTAGGATGCGCTAGAGAGTAGGTCTGTGTTTGGGGGAAATTCCCTGAACATAAAGTCGAGGGCTTCCCTGCAGTAGTGAGCTTGTCTATGTTCAGGGGAATTACACCGAACAGACCTACTCTCTAGTGCATCCTAACTTTCCAACCAATTTGTTCTATGACCAAGTTGTAAGAACGGAACGCGGTCGGTAAGTGAGGATGATCTGTACTTTAAAACGGACTGATTAGAAGGATATTATAGGTACTGCTAATTAATCAGTTTGTTGTGTATAGATCATGCCTCCGCAGTATTACTGTTCAATTCTCTTCCTCTTAGGAGGAAGTTAACTTACTTTGTCAATGCTGCCCTAGTCACACCTCCCTGCATGTGACTTACGCAGCTTAAGCACTTCCTGTAAAGAGAGATCTAATGTCTAAACTTTCTTTATTGCTCATTTTGTTTAATTTAGAATTTATCTTCTGCTTTGTTAATAGCCTTCTATACCCTGCGGAAGCCCGTGTATAATTAAAGTTCAATTTACAGAGCAGGAGATATAAACTTTTAAAGTAAGTTAAGATCTGACTGAAAATGAAACCATTTTTTCCCCATACTCGTAGTGTATGTGCATTAGGCTCCCCTGTTGGAGGACGCAGAGTGCTGACCCAGCGTCGAGGGACATTGGTCCTGGAATAGAGTAAGTGACTACATTTTTTTTTTCCCCCTTTCATTTACATGCCAATGGAATACAGATTTGTATTCCCAACATAGAATCCATTTTCAGATTTCCCTTCACTGGTAGTATGAAGCCTAGCCCAACCCCTGAAAGATAGACCCGTAAGATTATCCCACTTCCACCCCACAGTATGTTGCTTGTACGTAGGTGCAAAGGAAGCCCTTCAGAGTTTTCTTAATGAGTGTTCCATTAAGAGATGTGTCCCAATACTTTTCTCCATATAGTGCAACTCCTCAGTCTTTAGGAACCAAATCCCTTTGTCAGTCATCCATGTACCTTATTTCTAAAATATTTGCAAAATGCATGATTACATTGATGCATTTATATTTTTATGTTTAGAGTGTTCCAGAGTATTTCCAGTAGAGTGCTTGTCTAGCTTAGTTTAGACATAAAATTCTGTTTGTGAGTATTGTAGGTATAAGCAAAGGTACTGGTAGTTCTTACTTTGAGCCGGGTCCGTTCTTACAACTTGTTCATAGAATAAATTGGTCGGAAAGTTAGGATGCGCTAGAGAGTAGGTCTGTGTTTGGGGGAAATTCCCTGAACATAAAGTCGAGGGCTTCCCTGCAGTAGTGAGCTTGTCTATGTTCAGGGGAATTACACCGAACAGACCTACTCTCTAGTGCATCCTAACTTTCCAACCAATTTGTTCTATGACCAAGTTGTAAGAACGGAACGCGGTCGGTAAGTGAGGATGATCTGTACTTTAAAACGGACTGATTAGAAGGATATTATAGGTACTGCTAATTAATCAGTTTGTTGTGTATAGATCATGCCTCCGCAGTATTACTGTTCAATTCTCTTCCTCTTAGGAGGAAGTTAACTTACTTTGTCAATGCTGCCCTAGTCACACCTCCCTGCATGTGACTTACGCAGCTTAAGCACTTCCTGTAAAGAGAGATCTAATGTCTAAACTTTCTTTATTGCTCATTTTGTTTAATTTAGAATTTATCTTCTGCTTTGTTAATAGCCTTCTATACCCTGCGGAAGCCCGTGTATAATTAAAGTTCAATTTACAGAGCAGGAGATATAAACTTTTAAAGTAAGTTAAGATCTGACTGAAAATGAAACCATTTTTTCCCCATGCAGGCTGTGCCAGTTACAACCAGGGGAGGTGTGGCTAGGACTGCATGGAAAAAAACAAAATTGACTATAAACCAAAACTGCTTCATTAAAAGGACACTATAGGCACCAAAGCAACTTTAGCTTAATGAAGCAGTTTTGGTGTATAGATCATGCCCCTGCAGTCTCACTGGTCACTTATCTGCCATTTTGGAGTTAAATCACTTTGTTTCTGTTTGTGCAACCCTAGTCACACCTTCCCTGGCCATGACTCACAGCCTGCATGGGAACCGTTTCATTTTCAAATCAGATGTTTACTTGATTTATAAGTTCTCTTCTTCACTGTAAATTGAACTTTAATCACATTCCGGAGGCTCTGGCAGGGCACAGAAGGCTGTTAACAGAACAGGAGACTTAAAAAAAAAACAAACAAAACTAAATTAAATAACATTTGCAATAAGTTTAAACATTAGATCTCTTTTTACAGGAAGTGTATTGCAAGTCAGATGCAGGCAGGCGTCTCTAGGGCTGCATACGCAAAGTTATTTAACTCGTAAATGGCAGAGAGATTTCAAGGTCATGATCTATGCACCAATACTGCTCCATTAAGCTAAAGTTGTTATTTGCATAGTTTAAAACACATTTGAAAGCTTGTTATCCATGGGAAATACCAACAGAATGGCTACAGAGTGTAAATTCTTATTTTGTGCTACAGAGCTATTAGAACTGACACTATAGCAGTGGTCTCCAACCCAGTCATCATGGACCACCAACAGTCCAGGTTTTGTCAGTATCTCCATTGGAATAAAACTGGGAAATACATAAATCCTGGACTGTCACTGCCATGAGGACTGGGTTGGAGCAGTGACTCCCAGCTCAGGCTTCTAACACACCTACAGTCCAAGGTTTGGGTATGTTCCTGTGAGAATACTGACAAAACTTGGAGAATAACACAAGATCTGTTTTAGAATACTCTGGTCTCTCCCCCTCCCCTACTCTTTCCTCCAGCTATGCTTCACTCCCACCTTGTTTAATTGCCCCACCTCCTATAGACTGTAAGCTCATTTGAGCAGGGCCCCCTTCAACCTATTGTTCCTGTAAGTTTTTGTAATTGTCTCATTTATTGTTAAATCTCCCCATTTGATAATATTGTAAAGCACTACAGACTATGCTGGCGCTATATATAGATACCAATAATAAATGGAATAAGATAAACCCAATAATTAAAACCCACAAATATAGAGTGGTTGAAGTACTACTCCAGACTATAAAGCTCAGGGAAAATCAGCCAGGGCCGGACTGGCCCACCGGGATACCGGGAAATTTCCCGGTGGGCCGTCGGCACCTGGGGCCGGGCAGACACCTGGGTCTGCTGGCGGCCGCTGGGGACTTGTGCTGGCTGCCGCTGGGGAGGTCTTCTGGCGGCCGCTGGGGGACTTGTCCTGGTGGCCGCTGGGGAGGTCTTCTGGCGGCGCGCAGCTGAATAAGAACGGCGCCGGAATATGACGTCATATTCTGGCGCCGGTCTCATTCAGCAGCGCACGAGGGCGGGAGAGCACAGACAGCGCAAGTCCCCCAGCGGCCACCAGAAGACCTCCCCAGCGGCCTCCAGAAGACCTCCCCCTGGTGGCAGGTACTAGTAATGTGTCTGTCTGTCTGTGTTATGGTGTCTGTCTGTATGGTGAGTGTGTCTGTCTGTCTGTGTCATGGTGTCTGTCTGTATGGTGTGTGTGTGTCTGTCTGTGTCATAGTGTGTCTGTATGGTGTGTGTCTGTCCGTCATGGGGTGTGTATGTGTCTGTCTGTTCGTCATGGGGTGTGTATGTGTCTGTCTGTCCGTCATGGGGGGGGTGTGTGTGTGTGTGTCTGTCTGTCATGGGGTGTGTGTGTGTGTGTCTGTCCGTCATGGGGTGTGTGTGTGTGTGTGTGTGTGTGTGTCTGTCCGGGGTGTGTGTGTGTGTGTCTGTCTGTGGTGTGTGTCTGTCTGTCCGCTATGGGGTGTGTGTGTCTGTCCGGGGGTGTGTGTGTCTGTCTGTCCGTCCGGGTGTGTGTGTGTCTGTCTGTCATGGGGTGTGTGTGTCTGTCTGTCCGTCATGGGGGGTGTGTGTGTCTGTCCGTCAGTCATGGGGTGTGTGTGTGTGTGTGTGTCTGTCTGTCTGTCAGTCATGGGGTGTGTGTATGTGTGTCTGTCCGTCATGGGGGGGGGTGTGTTTGTGTCTGTCCGTCATGGGGTGTGTTTGTGTGTGTCTGTCCGTCATGGGGTGTGTGTCTGTCTGTGTCATGGTCTGTCATGGGGTGTGTATCTGTGTCTGTCATGGTGTAAATGTGTGTTTAAAAATAGGTGTGACTAGGGTGCATAAACAAAGTGATTTAACTCCTTAATGGCAGAGATTTGAGCAGTGAGACCGCAGGGGCATGATCTATACACCATAACTGCTTCATTAAGCTAAAATTGTTTTGCTGACTATAGTGTCCCTTTAAGGCCCTTTAAAGGACCACTGTAGTGCCAGGAAAACATACTCGTTTTCCTGGCACTATAGTGCCCTGAGGGTGCCCCCACCCTCAGGGTCCCCCTCCCACCCGGCTCTGGAAAGGGGAAAAGGTATAAAACGTACTTTTTTCCAGCGCTGGGCGGGGAGCTCCGATCCTCCTCCTCTCCGTCGGTTGAATGCGCACGCGCGGCAAGAGCTGCGCACGCATTCAGCCGTTCGCATAGGAAAGCATTACCAATGCTTTCCTATGGACGCTTGTCAATGAGACAGCCACTAGAGGCTTTGGGGGAAGGATTAACCCATTTATAAACATAGCAGTTTCTCTGAAACTGCTATGTTTATAAAAAAATGGGTTAACCCCAGCTGGACCTGGCACCCAGACCACTTTATTAAGCTGAAGTGGTCTGGGTGCCTAGAGTGGTCTTTTAAGCTGTAAGTGATCTCTTAGGTACCTTCCCAAAGAGAGTATAATATTTGACAACCAAAATACATATACTAAAAATAGTGTATAAGTGCAAAAACCACATATATTCGGAATGGGGGTGGATTGCCTAAATGGTGTATGTATAAGAAGTAAAAAATAGTACTAAAAAAACAGTACAAACAAATATAAGTTGCTGAAAAAGACACTACTAAAAAAGCGAGAACCACAAAAATTGGTAATAAAAAATATCTATATATCTATAAATTTATAAATAAATTAAAAAAAAACAGAGGGCTTCATAAAAAAATAGACAATTCAAAATCTATATTAAGACCAGATGGGATCAGAGTATCAAAATAAAAAAATCTATTTCATCTCCTCCTGTCTGATCTTTCTAATAAAATCTCCTCCCCTCACAATATATATTTGTTTATATTCTATTTTTGTTCCTTTAAAAATAGATTTGAACATGGCTTTGAAGCAGATTTCCAGCAATAAGTGCTTTGATGGGTTCCAGAAAGTGTTTGAACATGACAGGTAAGCAAGTATCACAGAAGGTCTTTTGAAAATATCGATCCCACCTGCTCAAAATATATCATTGAGTAAAAAGATGGGATATAGCAGTGGGAGATGGATTAAAATTGAGAGGCTTAGAAACTGCGATGGTTAATAGGCCAAGGGACAAAATGGTCATATTTTACATGGGCTTTCTGAAAATATTGTTTGAGGTGAAACGATGGCCATTAGACTCAAGGTTGAAAGCCACAGGTCTAGGTCTTATTTTGCATGTGTTGATATGATACACATTTATACTTTTTTCCCTAGACTATTCCTTTGGTTCCTAAATTGTTCTCTTAGAGTAATGTGGGGACTTAACCCTGCAAGGTAATTATTGCAGTTTAAAAAAACTGCAATAATTACACTTGCAGGGTTAAGGGTAATGGGAGTTGGCACCCAGACCACTCCAATGGGCAGAAGTGGTCTGGGTGCCTGGAGTGTCCCTTTTGAGCGATCCTTTTACATAGTTTTTTTCTAAGGCCTCAGTTGTATAATTCTCCTCCAATTAAGCTTGCAAAATGTTAGGTTTGACGCTGCCTGTCAAGGTTCCACTTTATCAGTGGATTTGACATGTATGTACATAATAAAATTATAGGTGAAAATTGGGCAGTGGAGATTGAATATGAACTTCCTATTAACACTAATTTTAAAATATATTGTATTTACCAGAATACAAACTAGTATATTCCGAGTACATTTCAAGATTTATTGTCACCAATACTGTATAATTTCAGATTTTTTAAAAGCAGACAATGGATCACTGTTTCTCTAATGCCGTCAATATATTTTGTTGTGTCTGTTTCTCTGTGTACCTTGTTGTTCTGTAATTTGTTTTCTTTTCATACAGCAGTCATTCATTGCACCATTACTTTGCTATCAAATGTAATAAAGAAGAACATTCACTAAGATTTATTCATCTGTCTCCTCCTCAGATGATGGAACTTGGATTAGTAAAATGTTGTTTTTGTTATGACTGAGAAAATATGTTGTGCTATTATTTGTCCTGCTTGTATTTTTCCAACATAAATGTCATCCAGTTACATCTAGACATTTGGTTTATTATAATACTTGATAGTTGTGCAAACTAGCTTTACAGCCTTGTACTTTCTACCAACCCACATATTAGGATTTTTATGTTGACTTTGAGAATATATGTATAAACTAAAAATCTGTTCAAGGTCATTATATACAGTTTCCCTGTAGATTGTTTAACAATACTCTAAAAAATGTGACTTTTAAATAATTATTTCCTTACGTCTAGTTGATTCTGTCATTTAATTTAATGCATGTTGTATTGAAATCATTCTGCCTATATAATATGCTTAGCTTGATCTCACTCTGCTTATGCAAAAGTATTGTGAGCTGGGATATTCTTCAAAATCTAAAATGTAACACTACATGGCCAAAAGTATGTGGGCACTCTACTTCTAATTGCAGTCAGGTGTTTCGGCCTCATCCATTGCTAAATGTCACGGCTGCTAGTGTGGTCCAACACGCAGAAACTATGTAAACATATACATACAAAAGGAACGGAAATAAAAGGACAGAGCGTAAACCGGACCTTAGAATGGCCGGACTAATACGCTAGAGATAGAGATTTGTCAAAGGGAAAGCCGAGGTCATGGAAGCCAGAAATACTCAGATACCATTTAAACAAGCCAAGTCGGGGGAACCAGAATTCGGAATAACCAGGGAAAAGCCAAGATCAGGATACCAGGAAGTAATATTCACAAAGATAAACGCACTCTAGGGAACCAGTAACAGGAAACCACGACAGGGCAAGTTACTGGGATGAATTAGGGATTTAAATATCCTTCTCTAGGCTCTGATTGGTCAGAGGGTGACCTTTGACCCCAGAACATGTGCGTGCGTTGACGTTGTGACATCACGCGCACGTTCGTATAATTTTGGGGGATGGAGCCATGGATGAATGCGACCTCATGGAGGAACGGTTCCCGGCTCGCCGCTGAGCAGGTAAGCTCAGTGAGTTGGTGCGGTTGTGCCGGTTGGGCACGGATGCACATGGCGGCGAGCCGGGGGCTGTGACAGTACCCCCCACTCGAAGACCGCTCACCGGGCGGGAAAGAGCTGGCTTGCGAGGAAAACGGTTGTGAAATTACCGGACAAGACGGGGAGCATGAGCCTGGTCCGCAAGAACCCAACTACGTTCCTCCGGGCCATATCCCTTCCAGTCAACCAGATAAGACAGAACACCTCTAGAGAACTTGGAGTCTAAAATAGTTTGGACTTCGTACTCCTCTTGATTACCTACTACCAAGGGCGGAGGAGGAACAATAATTTTTGTGTATTGATTGCAAGTGAGGGGTTTAAGCAATGATACATGGAAGGAATTAGCCATTCTCATATAAGCAGGGAGTGCCAACGAATAAGTCACAGGGTTTATACGATGGAGGGCACGAAAGGGACCTATGAATCGAGGAGCTAGTTTCATGGAAGGAACCTTGAGTTTGATATGACGTGTGGACAACCAAACCCTGTCCCCCACTTGATAAACAGGATTGGCACCCGGTTTATTATCAGCTTGAACTTTCATACGTTTAGAGGCATTCTGTAATGCTGAATGAACAGAATCCCAAGTGTCTTGGATAGAAGTCAAACAGGTGTTTAATGCAGGAATATCAGTCCCTTAAAATGCAGAAGGTAAAATAGTTGGGTGATAACCTTGATTTACAAAAAATGGACTCTAACTTGAGGATTCGTGAGTCGCATTATTTCTGGCAAATTCAGCCATGGGTAAGAGTTTGAACCAATTGGACTGATTGGCATCGATAAAGCAACGCAAATAGGATTCTAAAGATTGATTGGCTCTTTCTGTGGCACCATTAGTCTGAGGGTGGTACGAAGAGGAAAATGAAAGTTCTATGCAAAAGGCACGCCAGAACATAGAGATAAATTGGGTTCCTCTGTCAGAAACCATGTTTTTTGGTACTCCGTGTAAGCAAAAGATTTCCTTTATGAAAATTTGGACTAGATCTTGAGCAGATGGCAATTTTTTTTTTTTTTTTTTTTTTTAGTGATTAAAAGCATAAATTTTTTAATTTTAATCCAAGCAATTGACATTTAAGGACAACGGGAAGGAGTTCGCTCGGGTATGAGCCTTAGTAAAGTTATCTAGCTGTTCACAGTCCCTATGACTTGTTCCCTAAGGTAACTCAGGCATATATGGGAGGCCGCGGTCTAAGGGTACAGTGTCAGATATGAAATATGCTGGCATCAGGCTAAGGAGGTGGGTGCATATCGTGCACGATTAACACAAACTAAATCAGAGCTCGTCTTGGGGGGTGTCTGATGTGAAAGTTCCCCATGCAGTCATGGTATCGCAGGCTGTGAGCTCGTAGCTCTTGGGACAAAGGTGGTTATTGAAGCGGGGTCCCAGGAATCTGCTGGTGGCCCTTGCTTATTTTATCCCTATTAGATTAAAAACGCCCAGTATAATTTTACAAAATGTACTACTCATCCCATCTATATTAAATAGTTATGCTGACCCCAGGACATACTGTAAAATTAGAGAATTCTCAATGTATCCTTCCTGCTAACATTTTATAAATAAATAATCTTAAATTCCTTTATGGCTACAATACTCCAACCTAGTGGTAATCCACTGCAATTAACATGATTTCATAGTGAAACACTGCTATCTAGTGGCAATGTCTTCAATTTTTCCATTTAACCCCTTAAGGACACATGACATGTGTGACATGTCATGATTCCCTTTTATTCCAGAAGTTTGGTCCTTAAGGGGTTAAAGGGACACTATAGTCACCAAATCAGCTTTAGCTTAATAAAAGAGTTTTGGTGTATAGATCATGCTCCTGTAGTCTCCGTGCTCAATTATCTGCCATTTAGGAGTTAATTTTGTTTAACTCTAGTCACACCTCCCTGCATGTGACTTGCACAGCCTTCCATAAACACTTCCTGTAAAGAGCCATCTAACATTTATCCTTCCTTTATTGCAAGTTCTGTTTAATTTAGATTGTCTTATCCCCTGCTATGTTTTTTTTTTTTAATTCTTTATTTTTGTAGTGCAAGTGAATACAAAGAAGCGTGCAGTACCATGACCATTTCTGCAGTCCAATCAATCGTTTACAAATATTGACATTGGTATGGCATACTGTATGGTAACTTTGCATAGTTTTTTTTTTTTTTTTTTGGTAAATAAGATTCCTAAGGTACATATGAGGACGAGTTGAGTCAAGCCTGTCTAGCTAGTAAGCATCTGTACATTCCACCCCTTCTGATCCTAGCTGGTTAGGGGTGTGTCAGTGTAGATGGTGAGGGCATGCAATAAAGGGCATGTCATTATATGTCCATCTATTGTGGAACAGGGTGATGATTCGTTGGTGCTCTTAAATAAGGGCTTGTGTGCTAGCTTGGGGGGGTCAAAGAAGTGTGATTCCTAAACCCTGCTGCTGTGATGGTGTGCGGCCTGTGTCTATTAAGCGGCGCTGTGTTTCTTGAGGGTTTGGAGCGTGCTTGGGAGTATAATCAGGCTGGTAAAACCAGTTCTGGCTGATATTAAAGGCATCCCTGCTAGTGAAGAGAGCCCCAGGGGTTTTGTGTGCCTTCACGTGTGGGGTGTTGCTGTGCCTTTTATGTTGAGAGGCCCTCGTACCCAAGTACATCGGTTTCAGGGTCCCTGGCAGTGTGCGGGGGGGTGGCACTAGTACCCTAGTTCAGAGTAGCAGACTAGCAGCTAGACTGTTGTGGATGTCAAGAGTAGGAACTCATCCTATGCGTAAACGCTTGTGCATGATGTCTCAGGCTTTTATAGTGTTCCCCCGTTCCCTGGGGTGGGGGGGAGAGGGAGGTAGAGCGTGTCCTTTGATGTCGAGTAAGTGATAGTGTCAGGAGCATTATATGAAATCTGGGATTTAACCTTCAGTAATAAGAGAAAAAAAAAAAAAAAGTAAATTAAACAAGGCTGCGTGTGAAGCCGTCTAGAGAGCAATACTAAACATAAAGGTAAAACGTGAAACAATATTAACGTTAAACTTGTGGAGGTATGTGTATGCAAGCACATTCAGGTTACGGAGTCCCGTTCCCCTCCAGGAATGAAAGGAGTGATTCGGTCTACATCCCATATTCGTCGTGACGTTGTTGCTGGGTCTGGCGCCGGGAGGCCTAGTGCTTGCAGAAGTTTCAGCCCCTCTGAGGGGTTTGCAGCTTTGTGGGTCTTCCCGTCTTTGGTGCACACCAGCGATCTTGGGTTAGTCCATCTGTAGGGTATGCCGGCTGTCAGTAAGGGTTGCGTGATGGGGCGCATTGATTTGCGCCACATTAGGGTGGCCTTGCTAAGATCTTGGTAAAATGTAAGTGAGTAAGTTTCGAAAAGAAATGGTGTTTTCCCCCGCAGCGCCTGTAGCAGCCTTTGTTTGTCTGCATGGGACCGACAGCAGAGTATGATGTCCCTGGGGACGTTGTTCGGTGTTTGTGAGAAAGTTGGAATGCGGTATAGTCCATCATAGTCAAACTGTTTTGCGTGTTTGGCTGGAAGGAGAGATGCAATAAGTCGCCTGACGAGATGTGGTAATTCGTCCGCGGGGACGGAGTCGTCCACACCCCGGATTTTGACATTCTTTTGTCGGCTCCTATCTTCTAGGGTATCCATTCTGGCAACTAGTAGGGAGTGGGACTCTTGCAGGTTCTGTATTGATTCCCCTTGAGTCGTCATGCTTTGCCTCAGGTCAGCAGTGTCCTCCTCAGATGCTTGGAGGCGTTCTGTGACTGCTTTCAATTCAGTTTTGACCATGTTGATTTCTGCAAAGAACATGTCCTGGAAGTGTGCCAGTAAGTCGTGGATGTCCTGCCTTGTAACAGGTTTGTCTGTCACAGGTTTCTCTGCATCATGTGTTGTTCGGGCTTCGTCTGTGTGTGTTTTCTCTCTTACCGCGCTGGGAGCTGTCTCAGGCTGGCGTTGCAATGGCTCCTGGGTGCGTGGAGTTGATGACAACATCTGTCCAATATCATGATTTGAGGCGGTTGCTGCCGCCGCCTGTTTCTGGGATTTGCGGCCCTTCATGGTTTCCGATGGTTCCCTGGGTGGGCTGGCTATGAGTGGTAGCGGGTCAAAGTCGTCCCTGTCCCAGATTGTAAAGTGCGGCAACCGCAGAGTTCCCGCGCGGTAGGCCCGAGGCGTTTTGCGCCGAGTTTTGGTGCCTCCGGCGAATAAAAACGGCATCCACGGGATCGGTGTGTTCTCCTCTGCACTATTATCGCTGTTAGGGCTCTGGATGTCAGGTGGTTCATGCGTTTGGGGCTGTAGTTTCAGATGGCAATTTTTTAAGAGGTATAAAATGTGCCATCTTGGAAAATCTATCTACAACCATGAGGATGGTGTTATGCCCATTACAACTGTGAAGTTCCACAATGAGATTTATGGATGGAGGTTTATATACTACAGGTGCAGGTATAGGTGGCGGTACTACAGGTGGTACCGGGGGTACCTCCAGATAAGCAGTTCTCTGGAGCAAGGTCTGGAACACTTGGGCAAACTGATCTAACCTGTGGTCCATATCCTCCACCCTGTTCTCACAGGCTATCATATGTTTACATAGTTCCGCAGGAACCATGGCCCTGTCGTAATGTCACGGCTTCTAGTGTGGTCCAACATGCAGAAACTATGTAAACATATACATACAAATGAAACGAAATAAAAGGACAGAGCGTAAACTGGACCTTAGAATGGCCGGACTAATACGCTAGAGATAGAGAATGGTCAAAGGGAAAGCCGAGGTCAAGGAAGCCAGAAATACTCAGATACCGTTTAAACAAGCCAAGTCAGGGGAACCAGAATTCGGAATAACCAGGGAAAAGCCAAGATCAGGGTACCAGGAAGTAATATTCACAAAGATAAACGCACTCTAGGGAACCAGGAACAGGAAACCCACGACAGGGCAAGGTACTGGGGTGAATTAGGGATTTAAATATCCCTCTCTAGGCTCTGATTGGTCAGAGGGTGACCTCTGACCCCAGAACGTGCACGTGCGTTGACATCGTGACGTCATGCGCACGTTCGTATAATTTTGGGGGGTGGAGCCATGGATGGACGCGACCTCATGGTCGGCGCTATCTTGGATTTCCCCGAGCGTCGTGGAGGAACGGTTTCCGGCTCGCCGCTGAGCAGGCAAGCTCAGTGAGTTGGTGCGGTCGGGCACGGACGCACATGGCAACGAGCCGGGGGCCGTGACACTAACAGGTGTTGGTCTATGTAGGTCTATAGCACACAGCTATAGTATCTACATAGACAAACACTGGCAGTGCAATGGGTTCAGTGACTTTAAACGTGGAACTTCTTAAGGTGCCACTTTTGCCAGTCAGTTTGGGAAATTTCTACCCTATTGAATGTGCCCTGTGTACCCAGAGAGTGTGGACTCTGAGTTCTGATGTGTGTTGTGTGTAAAAATCACCTGTCACTCTTTGCATCATTCACTGCAGAGTTCAGAACTGCCCTGTCTCTGGAAGCAACATCTACACAGGAGCAGAGTGTTGGGAGCTTCAAGAAATGGGTTTCCATTGCTGAGCAGCTGTATGTAAGACTCACATCAACATTTGCAATTGCACATATAGGTTTGAGTCGTATAAGGCCCTTTCTAAATAAACTCTGAAGAAGTGGAAGCGTCCTCTGAAGTGGTGGATCATGCTTTACTATCTGGCAGCTTAATGGAAGAATTTGGATGTGGCTGATGCCAGGAGAACACTACCTACTGGATTTCATATTCCTACTGTAAAGTTTGGAGGAGGGATACAAGTTTGATGCAGTTTTCTGTGCGAGGACATGGTCATCTTAAAGCTACAGGATGCATAGACATTTTTAGACAATTTGGTGCTTCCAACTTTTTGCATCAGATTGGGGAAGGCCCTTTCCTGTTCCAGTGTGAATGTGCCTCTGGGCAAAATTTGAGGTCCACTGTTTGATAAGATTGTTCTTGGGGACTCGGGAAAACCATGACATTAACCTCATTGAACACCTTTGTGTAGAAAAGGAACTCCTATTGCGAGTTTTACCTCACAAATCCTGTTTTGGCTGCATGGGCAAAAGGTGTTACATTAAGATGTAAATATTTTGTAGAATGCCTTTCCAGAAGTATAGCGGCTGTTTAGCTGCTTGTCCAAAAAGCTGTTATAGGTGTGATAGTCACGTTCACATACTTTTGGCAATTGAGTGTACCTGTGCATTTCCTAAGACAATGCAGATAGTACATTTTTGCTTTTTTTCCCCCTATCTTTTTCTGATGTGGTAATGGATTTGTAGTCGATTTCTGCTATATCTGTCCTCATTATTCTGAAAATAAAATAAAAAAAAGTCCCTGTAACGGACCGTTTTGCACAAAAGGGGAAAAAACCGCTTAGACGATAATACCCCTTTCAGAGACAGGCACAGCTACTGTATAATCACCAAACGAACCGCCAATAAGTGAATGCTCCAAACTCCCGAACGGCATACAAGGGAATAAGGTAGCACTTCAAATAAACGAACAGGAACCATACGAATAGCTGCTAGCAGGCGAACAGGAAAAGCTTCCAAGCGGCTTACACTCCTGGCAATCAGTCCTTAGCAGCATACAGTAAATCCCCCCAAAGACGAGACAAGGCTCCGTGTTGAGGGTCAAGCAGTGGTCTGTTTAATGAGGGCTACCTGCCCAGTATTTATGCAGGTCTCCCACCTGGTGGACACTCCCCTAGGGGACCAAATGGGAGACTGTGACAAGGGACAGACAAGTGGACAAATAGGACACACAGTCACAATATTTCCCACAATGCATCCTGGCTTCCTCCCCTCTGCCTTGGGAGATAATTGGGAAGTAACTCAATTATCTCCCAAGACAAAGGCAAAACTCCATTACACACGTGGGGACACAAAACCAGCATTATACTTTAAATTACACAAAGTAACATTTACTACATAAAACACAGACATGTAACATATCCCCAGATAGCTCAGGTCTGAGTGCACATTATTAGGTGAATGGCACTCAGACCACACGAATACAGTTTAATCGCCATGGAGCCAAAGTCTTTACACAGTCAGTTTCATACGATGGGCTCCATGGGATTCCTATCTGGGGTATAAGACATTCAAACAAAAATACCGAACACCGGGCCGTTCGTGCACTTTCACCGAACAAGAAGGGAGGTCGGCGGCTTCAGCGGTGTTCGCGCAAAACTGTGTCCGATTTTAGTTCCATAAAAATAGAGGCGAACACCGCTGTTCATTCGTATGGTTTAAAATGGCCGCGACCTCGTGTTCGGGATACGAATGGCGGCCACCCAGCATTCATCAATTAAGCTGCGGTTAACCGCAGCTTCAGGGAGGTTAATTGCCGGCACACTCCAGCTCCCAGGTGGTCCAGTCATTCGTACGGTTGTTCGGTAGATTGAAACTACCGAACAACCGGCAGAAAAGCACGAATACAGCTTTTCTGCATGCAAAAATAAAGTCTTTTAAAAGGGGCCATAGTCCAAAGGCAGCAGGCGAGCAACCAGGCTTCTCCAATGCAATGTGGCGAGATTGGTCTCGTCACATCTCTCCCCTTTTCCAAACAGACTAACAGGGTATCTGACCTCCTGCCGGTCAGTGCCCTTGTTAGTCCAGCAGCCCACCCACAACAAATAATCAACAGCACAGCCCACCCACAATAAATGGTTACTACACCTGGGTAAAGGAGAAGCTTGTCCATGTCCAGGTGCCTCACCACGGCTGTGCTGGGTACGGGTACGCTGACTTGGTGGGTTGCTGCGTGGGCAGAGACCAGCGGCACTCTGCCCTGTTGCCAGCGCTACTGGGAGGGTAGCCTGGTGGAAGCCTGGTTGTTGGAGGGGGAGACCGACTGTCTCCCCTTTAAATACACCGCTCTCTGCTGCTGCTGGAGACTGACTGTCTCCCCTTTAGATGCACAGTCCTGCTGCTGGAGACCGACCGTCTCCCCTTTGGTTACCCATCTCTGCTGCTGGAGGGGGAGACCGACTGTCTCCCCTTTGGCTAAACAGCCCTGTCGCTGGGGGGCAGAACCGACCGTCCCTACCCCCTGTGCTGGCAGTGTAGAGACTACGGTCCCATCTGCACAGTTGTGGGGCTTACTGTCTCCCCCTGATACATTAAGCTGCCGCTGGGGAGAGGGGGTAACATGCTCCTCTCTCATACATACTTCCAGCTGCGGGGAAGGGAGACCGACTGTCTCTGCTCCCAATACAGAGTCCTGCTGCTGGGGAAAGGAGACTGGGCTCTCTATTCCCGGTAGGACACTCTGCCGCTGGGGAATGGAGACGGGGCTCCCAATTCCCAATAATCTGTGCTGCCGCTGGGGAATGGAGACTGGGCTCCCAATTCCCAAAAAATCACGCTGCTGCTGGGGAGGGAGGACACTGCTCTCCTCTCCCTGGCCTTCACACTGCCTTCCCGGCATATCACTCTGCTGCTGGAGGGCAGGAACAACTACCTCTGCCCCCTGTAACTCAGCCTGCCGCTGGGGAGGGAGGATACTGCTCTCCTCTCCCTGCACTTTACACTGCCTTCCCGGCATATCACTCTGCTGCTGGGGGGCAGGAACAACTACCTCTGCCCCCTGTAACTCAGCCTGCCGCTGGGGAGGGAGGACGCTGCTCTCCTCTCCCTGCACTTTACACTGCCTTCCCGGCATATCACTCTGCTGCTGGGGGGCAGGAACAACTACCTCTGCCCCCTGTAACTCAGCCTGCCGCTGGGGAGGGAGGACGCTGCTCTCCTCTCCCTGCACTTTACACTGCCGCTGGGGAATGGAGACTGGGCTCCCAATTCCCTGCAGGACCGGTGGAGAGACCTCGGTCCCATCTCTACCGGCCACCTGGGGTTCTTCCCAGTAAAACTGTACCATCTCGTCCCCTCTGAATGGGTCTGGCTCTGGGTCTGTCATGCTGCTCTCCCGCTGAGCCTTCTCACTGTATTGGAACAGCTGTTGGTAGCCCTGTTCTAGCTCCATCTCCCGGGTCACCAGGTGGACCAGGTCTTGCTCAATTTTGTGAGTGTCGTCCCAGTCATACCTGCTCTCCCTCCACTCCAAGAGATCACTGAACCGGGCTTGTGTAGGGCTCCCAAATTCGAGCTCTGAAAACGACTCCCATAACAAGCCAGGACCATCAAACTCCTCTCCCTCTGGCTTGTCATGCTCGGCTGTCCAGGGTAGGTACTGTGCCCCATACCACCAGAGCGCCTGGTAGGCATCTTCTAGCCACAACTCCTGCCATACTAGGTGTTCCAATTTCCTCACCCATTCCTCCAGGGGCTGCTCTCCCAGGAAGGGCATCCGCAGGGCTACTCGCTTCTGCAACCGCTGGTCTTCCTTGGGGAGTCTCTTGCCCCGCTGGTACTCCACAATACCCAGTGCCTGGTACCAGATGCCTTTACCGACTGCATCTCGGTCATCCATGGCACCCTCGTCATACTCCACTGCTGGTTCCATGCTGGTGCTGTCAGGGTCGCTGTACTGGGACATGCGTTGCCCTCAAATTGTAAAATCCAAAGAAATGGTGTCTCCTGTAGCTGTCCTTCTGGCTGTAGGAACGATCCCGCCGCTTGCCACCAATTGTAACGGACCGTTTTGCACAAAAGGGGAAAAAACCGCTTAGACGATAATCCCCCTTTCAGAGACAGGCACAGCTACTGTATAATCACCAAAACTCACGAACCGCCAATAAGTGAATGCTCCAAACTCCCGAACGGCATACAAGGGAATAAGGTAGCACTTCAAATAAGCGAACAGGAACCATACGAATAGCTGCTAGCAGGCGAACAGGAAAAGCTTCCAAGCGGCTTACACTCCTGGCAATCAGTCCTTAGCAGCATACAGTAAATCCCCCCAAAGACGAGACAAGGCTCCGTGTTGAGGGTCAAGCAGTGGTCTGTTTAATGAGGGCTACCTGCCCAGTATTTATGCAGGTCTCCCACCTGGTGGACACTCCCCTAGGGGACCAAATGGGAGACTGTGACAAGGGACAGACAAGTGGACAAATAGGACACACAGTCACAGTATTTCCCACAATGCATCCTGGCTTCCTCCCCTCTGCCTTGGGAGATAATTGGGAAGTAACTCAATTATCTCCCAAGACAAAGGCAAAACTCCATTACACACGTGGGGACACAAAACCAGCATTATACTTTAAATTACACAAAGTAACATTTACTACATAAAACACAGACATGTAACATATCCCCAGATAGCTCAGGTCTGAGTGCACATTATTAGGTGAATGGCACTCAGACCACACGAATACAGTTTAATCGCCATGGAGCCAAAGTCTTTACACAGTCAGTTTCATACGAATGGGCTCCATGGGATTCCTATCTGGGGTATAAGACATTCAAACAAAAATACCGAACACCGGGCCGTTCGTGCACTTTCACCGAACAAGAAGGGAGGTCGGCGGCTTCAGCGGTGTTCGCGCAAAACTGTGTCCGATTTTAGTTCCATAAAAATAGAGGCGAACACCGCTGTTCATTCGTATAGTTTAAAATGGCCGCGACCTCGTGTTCGGGATACGAATAGCGGCCACCCAGCATTCTTCAATTAAGCTGCGGTTAACCGCAGCTTCAGGGAGGTTAATTGCCGGCACACTCCCGCTCCCAGGTGGTCCAGTCATTCGTACGGTTGTTCGGTAGATTGAAACTACCGAACAACCGGCAGAAAAGCACGAATACAGCTTTTCTGCATGCAAAAATAAAGTCTTTTAAAAGGGGGCCATAGTCCAAAGGCAGGAGGCGAGCAACCAGGCTTCTCCAATGCAATGTGGCGAGATTGGTCTCGTCACAGTCCCCATGTTATTAACGCATGAGGTGCTCTTTGAAGCCTTCCCTAAATGGAAAGTTGGCATAGCTGGGAATTATTTTTCATTACTTGTTCTTATATTTTGTAATTATTATTGTCACTGGTGTGATCAAATGAATACGAATACTCTTGCGTGAAAGTATGACATAATTATAAAAGTTAAAAACATTTTCTTCTCTCCTAGCATGACCTTACTTCAAAGCAGCTATTGTAGAGTTAAAAATCCATAACGCAGCTTGCATCCCCTCCCTCCCTGCTCCCACCCCCCTTCCACTTTGCACGGCACTTTTTTTTTTTTTACATGCGTGCTGCTGTTCCAAAGTCCCTACTGTGAGTTTATTGTTGCTCCTTCTCACATTGGTTACTATACCGCACAGATCCACTGTATAGCACGCATCCACATATACAGTAAAGAATTTTGAAATAGACAGCAACATGTGCAGAAGTGGAAAGGTTGATGTTACATACAAGGCACAGCTCTAGGGAAGGTGATTTCTAAATACAAAAAAACAAGTCCTGCATTCAAACTCTCACTACCCTTGGGTGTCAGCAACGACCATAGTACACATCAGCCCCAATACATACAGTAAAAACCAAAGGAAAAAAGTTACCTGCGTTCTTCTTAAATCCCTATGCATATTTAAACAAATGGAGGTTATTTAGTTACTCCAATGGCCATTGGAGGGAATGCCCACCTGCCACGTCAAGGCAAACCTCTTAGGTGGGTCCTAAACGGACTATTCACCTTGCTTCCTTGAGTTTAGCGTAGGACACACCTGAGAGGTTTGCCTTGACGTGGCAGGTGGGCATTCCCTCCAATGGCCATTGGAGTAACTAAATAACCTCCATTTGTTTAAATATGCATAGGGATTTGGCAGAGAGCGCAGGTAACTTGCATAGCAATGCTCCGGATATTGCGAGAGGAACCCGGCGGTGCTGCAAGATAGAGCTCCTCTGGGTCCTCTCCTGTCTCCCTCCCCAGCCAGCAGCCTCATTACACTGCCTGTGGGCCGGTGAGGGAGATCTTTGATCTCCCCATCGGCCCGTCATGGAATAGAGCGCTCGGATAGCGCAGGCCCTGCATAGACCGGCAGGGGAGATCCTGTGACCCCCCCCCTGCCAGCCTCAGCCCATGGCATTTGCCCGATGGCCAGTCCGGGCCTGTCAGTAACCATACATAATAAACTGCTCTGTGTGCTCTATACTTGTTTCTTTGTTAAATAAGTAGACATGATTGGGGGGAAACTTACCACAGCACCGGAGCTGTACAAGATTGTTTCCAGGGCTCTGGAAAAAGTCCTGCAAAATATGTAAAGCAACACCGGCAGCATTGTAATTTTCTTCATATGTGTGTCATAAGTCATTAAGTATGCTTATAACTAGCTTTCTCTGTGCCATTTTGACAATATATGAGCTAGGCAGTTGGTTTACTACACATAAATCTATTGCTTTATTGCAAGTTACATTATTTTGACACTTCCTTTCAGCTAATGGATTTTTTTTGTGTGTGTTTTGTTTACCTTCCCCCAACAGCCTGGAACTAAAATGTAAAATGAAATTTGCAATTTATTTGCCACCTAAAGCTGAAAATGCAAAGTGTCCAGTAGTGTACTGGCTTTCAGGTTAGTTCTTCATCTTTGCAAATTCCCAAATTGTTTGCAACTCTGTAGTTCTGAACCTTTTTTGGCTCAAGGCACACTTCATTAAGAGAAATGTTTTTAAGGCACACCTACTACTGTGTTTAATTTGTTTTTGTTTTCTATACCTTCATAATTCTTGTATACCCCAATTGTTCAGGATTTAAGGAGACAATCCAAGCACCATAAGTTATTGTAGAAGGGAGAAAACCCCCCATGTTTCAGACTCTTAAGTTGTTATGGTGCTTGGATTGTCTTTTTTTTCCAGCTCTGCTTTATATGGTCTCTTGATAACACCTGAATCTCGGTGTGCATGGGTAGCTCATTGAAGGAATAACTGATCTAAAGAATCCTTAATAGGTGGGAACTAAATAGGTCTGAGAGTGAGACAAAAATGCTATTAACCTTTTACGTTAATAACTAAACACCAAATTGAAGCATTTTGAAAACCAAATTCTAAAATTAAGGCTTAATAGGAAAGTTCTGACTGTAGATGCGTTGGAGACTATTTAAAACGACTGCTATTTTAGCCTGTACTTTTCAATTGTGTATAAGCTTTGAGTACCAGAGGTGTACAAAACATTGTGTTCAATGCTACCATATATAATGTGTATGGATGTTGAGTGAGAAAGTCTATCACATGCATGCACACATCTGAAATTAATTTTGCTCTCCTACTCATACCTATGTTGCTCTATTGACAGTGAACATGGTGAGATGCAGAATTCTCTGATGTCATTTGTGCTAGTGTGGGAGTGTGCGGAGGCAGCTTCTGGTATCCCTTTTCTTAATCACACTTGCACCCTTGAGCTCAGCACTGGAAACTAGCGACAGTTGTTCTCCTATACACAATTTTGACTTACTATGCTGCATCCTCCCAGTGCTTTGAGACCAAGTACCAAAGTAGACACCAGAAGCTGTCTCTGCTATTGCAGCACACAGAGAAAGCCACCACTAATGAGGGATTACCTAATAGACACCATTCCTCTTCTAATCAATAATCAAACACCCTTCCAGGAGTACAGATTATAAATAAAATTTTCACAGAAAAAGGAACCATTAACATGCTGGGATAAGCAAGATGTAGTGGGGTCTTTGGGGATTGTAAATGTAGCATCAGATTTTCAATTTACACTTTTATTTTTGTGTGAAACTACTGGATCTGCACAGTAATATATCTGAAAGCCGTTCTGAGTCATTACAACTACAGTACATGTTTTGCAGCTCTTTAATGTCATGTCTGACAGAATGTTACAGAGTCCGTTTTCTTTTTGTTACAGTGATACTATTGAAATCAGTATTTCTAGTCCTTCTAGTAGTTAACTGATCTGATCCAGGCAATGTTTTTATTTCTCTCCCTTGTACAGGTTTAACATGCACTGAACAAAATTTCATTACAAAAGCAGCATTTCACCAAGCTGCAGCTGAGAATGGACTCATTGTTGTAGCCCCAGATACTAGCCCACGTAAGTTTTGAGATTGACAGAGTAAATGCATTTTGTACATGTTGTGTACATGAATTTAAAGCAGAACTGTTATTTTCAAGTTTTTCAGAAAGAACCTTTCTGTAAAAAAATGTAATCATAAATCCTGTGCTATAATTTGCTTTAAATCAGTATTTTTTTTTATTCCATCATAATTCTTGTATACCCCAATTAGCATAGGGTATGTGCACTCTTATAAGTTCATTCAATTAGTTTTTATACGGCACCACCTCCACCAGATACAGGACGCTTTGGAGGTATGTGACTGGTTTAATGTTTTCTGTCGATAAGATTCTGTAATTAGTCCCATCATAGTTGTCAGCACCAGACTCAATAGGATCTTAGTCTGGATCTGGCACAAATGCTACACCTAGTGAGACTAGGCATAAGGTTCCACTATGCGAGCTACACCAGAGACATTAACCCTTTCAGTGCCAGAGCCAAGAGCAACACAATACAGCTCATTGTTTTATTTAATTTCTTTCTTTTAACAGAGAAAATTTAAAAAAGTTAATTTATTAAACTCTAAAATGAAAGATATTATAAGGTGTGGACTACTTAAATGTGAAAAAGTTCATAGCTAAACATAGGTTTCATGGACACATCCTGCCATTTTCCATCTGTCATCATATGCAATGGTGAATGGGAACAGGTATCTGTATGTGCTATGGGTATATGTGGAAGTTCAATGCATATGGGCAAGGCAAAAGATCCTCAATATTTATACTCCTATGCATGAACAACATATTAACACTGAAGTATTTTTACCTGTCCCTCTTACCTCAGGTGTCACCATGTTGTCTATGCATTATACATAAGTCTACGTGACTTTCAACTATAGTTTTAATTTTCTTCTTCTGAGGCAAACAATTTTCATTTTCTATAGCATTGTATTACCATCCGTACTGTCTGATATGCATTTCTTACATTAGACAATCCAGTTGTCCAATAAATAGATGAAGTGAATACTTTCCATGCTGTCATTTACAGGTGGTTGCAACATTGAGGGAGAAGATGAAAGCTGGGATTTTGGCACAGGGGCTGGCTTCTATGTCAATGCCACGGAAGATCCTTGGAAATCTAACTATAGAATGTACTCGTACGTAGTCGACGAGGTAACTTTCAGTAACGTGGTTATTCTTACAGAGATAGACATTGATCCATTCATAGGCATTTAGAAATGTATTCCTCTGAGATCTTACAAATGAGGACTATTTAAATACAGGGACAATTTTACCTCAGTAAGTAGAGTAATTATCTTTCATACTATTTGTTTGCCTCGGAAAAGCGTACTTGCTACATTTGCTTCACTGCTTTGGTTTGCCTCTATGAAGTTATACAGCCTAAATGCAAGGTTTTTCTCTTATAAAACCATTATCTTTGGAACTCAGCTCTACTGATTCCACTGTTTTACTCTTTCTGATTTGGGTTACCTGGGTGCAGTAAGGCTCTGTGATTGAGCAGCTGTAAGTGGACAGTACTTTGATGTTCCAGCAGTGAATAGATACCTTGGGGGACTGGTGGTGGAGGCAGAGGTTGGGAATGACCATTCAAGTATCATGAGCATTGCTGCCACCACCACACCCTCCAGGTGGTTCTTCTTTACTTAAGTCCTGGCTCTGCAATTTTCATTGTCAAATGTCACTATTGCACATATCTAATTATAAAATAAACGTTAGAGAAAAAGAGGTATTTTTTTCACATTGGCTGGCTGATTTTGGCCTCAGTTCTAATATTGTTGGATAATCTTTCAAACTGATGTAACATTTTGAAACAAAAATATTTTCTATTATGAAAAATATTTTGATAGTTTTGGATTTATAGAACTTTTTTATATATAATTTTTCAACTGATATTTTAATATTTCTAAAATATTAAATATATAAACACGATGAAAGAGAATCTAACACGGAGTGTGTAATGGTTGTGGGGTAATTAGGGCATAACCCAACATAGAAATCAATAAGAAGATTAGTACAGACTAGTAAGAACAAGCCCAATACCAATCCTATTACCCTTTTTAAAGTACTACTCCAACATTGGAATGAGATAACCTTAAAAATGTATAATTCACAACTTTATTAAATCTTTATAAGGATGATTACAAAAACATACACAAAAAAACTGCCAGAAAAATGTGATAAAGTGAAAAAATAGAAAATTTGTAGAAGAACTGATGGATCCTATATAGATAGTCAGAATGATCTCCCAGCTTGGAATTAGATTAGAAAGCAGGTAACCTGATACTATGTTGCAAAAATGCATACAAATTGAAAGCACCACGTATGATTACAACATATGATGCAGGCTGGGATTGGGTTAAACAAGGTATTCTAAAGTTTTGGCCTCCTGTAACTGAAGATATACACCTCAAACAAATTCTGGGCCTCCACATTAACATCACGGCACGTAGAGGTAGAAATCTGAAAGTTCTTCTATCTCCTAGTCATTTCCAACCCCAATATTCCATCAAACAAACTTGGCTTACTAGTCCCCTCACGGGTTCCTTCAGGTGTGGGCGATGTGTGGCATGCAAGTTTATCAAGCGTGATTCTAAGCACATAACTGACAGTGAAGGTAAACAGTCCTTCAAAATTAACACATTCTTTAATTGCAACACCACTGGTCTGGTTTACTTTTTAACCTGCGTATGCAATCTTAAATATGTTGGTAAGACCTTTTGTCCTGTCTACAAATGCTCGCAGTTTAGGGAATAAGATCCATGAACTTGTGGCAATAATGGCAACTGATAGTGTAGATTTAGCTGTTACTGAGACCTGGTATAATGAGAAAAATGACTGGGACATAGCAATACCAGGGTACTCTTTATATAGAAAAGACAGGGAAGGCATGAAAGGGGGAGGGGTAGCCCTGTATGTGAAGGATAGCATAAAAGTTAGTGAGGTTACGTTAGAATTTGGTAATCACACAGTAACTCGTGTAGGTGTGATTTATAGGCCCCCAGGGCAAATAGAAGAGTTAGATAATCTACTGGTTGAAGAAATAGCTAAAATGACAATGAAGGGGGAAGTTATCATCATGGGTGACTTTAATCTTCCTGATGTGAATTGAAAAACCAAAATAGCAGCTTGTACCATGAGCACACACATTCTAAACTCTCTACTGGGATTGTGTCTAAAACAAGTCCAACTCGTAAAGAGGCCATACTGTTTTAGATCAAATCAAGTGTTTGATTATTTGTCTATCTACTCCTTTCTAAATTAATTGTGCGCATGTCTTCTAGAAGTAAATCACACCGGACACATTGCAGGTTTATGAAGAACTCCAGAGTGGACTTTATTCCAAGGGGTGGGTAGCCCCTTTTAAAGCAGAAATACGTCATGTACAGAGTCACAGTTAACATAAAGTATACATTCAACAATTGGTTAACAGTCCAAGGGGTCTTGTCTAAACCCACCCTACGGGAAGTAATGTCATCATTACAAAGTTCTCCCACCCACATTCCAGCTCCATCTTGGTTACACGATAGTAGTTACTGAACAGAGAGGGGCTGAAGGGGAAACAGTTACTTTAACAGCGATTCTCCATTTTGTTACACGTGGCACATAGCTGTTAGTTGCACAAAGGACGTGGGGGAGGAGTTAGTAAAGGAAGCTGTTCTTTTAACACAGGAATTTGTTACACGAGGCTTGCTCGATGGGGGGTAGCCGGATGGGAGGAATTTACAGAGGAAATAGTTACTGTGCATACAGAGTAAAAAATACATTTTATCCATTCAAGTATTTTGTCCATAACAATACTACATTTAGTGTGAACAAATAGAGATTTGGTATCAGATATTGCTGTAGGTGAAAGTTTAGGATCCAGTGATCATCAGTCAGTGTGGTTTAAGATAAGAACAGTAACTGAGTCACACCACACAAAAACAAAAGTTTTAGACTTTAGAAAAATAGACTTTTCTAAAATTAGAATTTGTGTAAAGGAGTCATTATCAGACTGGAGCAATTTAAATGGAGTCCAAGAGAAATGGGATTATTTAAAAGTTGCACTGCTGAAGACAACAGAAAATTGTCAGTAAAAGCAAGGCTTGTCAGTAAAAGCAAAAAATTCAAGAAACCACTGTGGTACTCCGCAAATGAGGCCAAAATAGTAAAAAACAAATAGTTGGCATTTAGTAATTATAAAAAAAAAAAAACAGAGTCAGGAAGACAAAATGATCTATAAGATTAGGCAGAAAGAGGCTAAGCGAGTTATAAGAGCTTCCAAATCACACACAGAAGAGAAAATAGCATGGTCAGTAAAAAAAAAAAAAGGGGACAAAACTTTTTTACATACATAAGTGAGAAAAGGAAAGTAAAACAAGGCTTAGATTAAAAACAAAAGAAGGAAGATATGTAGACGAGGATAAAGGTCTAGCTGACTGCCTCAATTAATATTTTTGTTCAGTATTTACAGATGAAAATGAAGGAAAGGGGCCTCAGTTAGGAAAAAGGACAAAGTCAATTGTTACATGTAATTTTACAGAGGAAGAGGTTCTATTTCAACTGTCAAAAGTAAAGACGTAAGTTAATGGGACCTGATGGAATACACCCAAAGTTATTAAAATAGCTTCCTGGTGTACTAGCAAAACCATTAACAGATTTATTTAACAAATCATTAACAGGAGTAGTCCCAGAAGATTGGAAGTCCGCGAATGTTGTGCCCGTTCACAAAAAAGGTAGCAGGGAGGAGTCGGGCAACTATAGGCTAGTTAGCGTTACTTCAGTAGTGGGGAAAGTAATGGAAACCATGTCAAAGGATAGGATTGTTGAACATCTAAAATCACATGGATTTCAAGATCAGAGACAACATGGGTTTACTTCAGGGAGATCATGCCAAACTAATCTAATTGATTTTTTTGATCGGGTAACTAAAATAATCAGGGTTGTGCAATAGACATTGCTTACCTAGATTTCAGTAAGGCTTTTGACACTGTTGCACATAGAAGGCTTATCAATAAATTGCAATCTTTACGTTTGGATTCCAATATTGTTGAATGGGTAAGGCAGTGGCTGAGTGACAGGCAACAGAAGGTTGTAGTCAATGGAGAATATTTGAAGCATGGCTTGTCACCAGTGGGGTACCTCAGGGATCTGTACTTGGACCCATTCTTGTTAATATTTTTATTAGTGATATTGCAGAAGGTCTTGATGGTAAGGTATGCCTTTTTTGCTGATGATACTAAGATATGTAACAGGGTTGATGTTCCAGGAGGGATAAGCCAAATGGCAAATGATTTAGGTAAACTAGAAAAATGGTCAGCGTTGTGGCAACTGACATTTAATGTGGAAAAGTGCGAGATAATGCATCTTGGGTGTAAAAACCCTAGGGCAGAGTACAGAATATTAGACAGAGTCCTATCCACAACATCTGAGGAAAGGGATTTAGGGGTGATTATTTCTGATGACTTAAAGATAGGCAGACAATGTAATAGAGCAGCAGGAATGCTAGTGCTTGGTTGTATAGGAAGAGGACTTAGCAGTAGAAAGAGAGATGTGCTCATGCCATTGTACAGAACACTGGTGAGACCTCACTTGGAGTATTGTACGCAGTACTGGAGACCGTATCTCCAGAAGGATATTGATACTTTAGAGAGAGTTCAGAGAAGGGCTACTAAACTGGTTCATGGATTGTAGGATAAAACTTACAAGGAAAGGTTAAAGGAACTTAACATTTAGAGCTTGGAGCAAAGACTAAACAGGGGGGATATGATAGAAACATTTAAATACATAAAGGGAATCAACACCGTAAAGGAGGAGACTATATTTAAAAGAAAAACTACCACAACAAGAGGACATAGTCTTAAATTAGAGGGGCAGAGGCTTAAAAATAATATCCTGAAATATTGCATTACTGAGAGGGTAGTGGATGCATGGAATAGCCTTCCAGCTGAAGTGGTAGAGGTTAACAAAGTAAAGAAATATAAGCATGCGTGGGATAGGCATAAGGCTATCCTAACTATAAGAAAAGGCCAGGGACTAATGGAAGTATTTAGAAAAATATGTCCTTTCAAAGAAAGGATTAAGGAACATGTAAGGTCTCCCAAGTTAAGCATAGAGACCCCCATTGCCCATCACCTTAAAGAATTCCACTCAGGAGATTCCCAAAGACTTTGTTACTGTGGGTTGGAACTGGTTAAATGCAACCAAAGAAGGGGTGATTATGACAGGTTCCTGAGACAATGTGAGAGCTTCTGGATTTATCGCCTGAAGACTCTTCAACCTAAAGGGTTAAATGAGGGCTTCTCTTTTGCACAATTTATTTAGTTGGCAATACATTTATAAATATGTTTTATTATTGGATTCTCTTCTATCCAACATTGACATTAATTTTGTTCCAGTCACTTGTCACATTTGTATATGCAGCTCAGACAGGATACATAGATATGTACATTAATATCTTATTTTTATGTCTAACACTTCTATATTTCATCTGATGCTTACACCGCACATCCAATTTTGAAAGAGGTTCTTAATATCTTTCCTCTCCTTATTAGGGATATATACTTTAAGATTGACTGAATTCTTTACATGTTTTCTGGCATTTGAGGAGTTATTTTTTTGCTTTCACGACCCTCTGGCATTGGAGGGGTCAATTTGTTGGTTCTAATGACCCTCCTCCTCTTTCTCTGCCTAATTGGATATGCAGCTGTCACTGACATCACAAAAAAAGGCGGCTCCATTTTCCCTTAAAAAGAGGCAAGATTTTAGTCTGATCTTAGCTCTTGACAAAGGCGCATATAAGTGCCAAAACGCACATCAAGCAGATGCACCACTGGTCATTTTTAAAACTTGGACAGCTTTTGCATACCTTAGCAACTTGCTATTACTATAAATCTTAACGATCTTCCTGGGCAAATAGGCAGTTTCTATTTTTAGGCAGTAGTAGATGAGTTATGTGCCTCACCCTTCTGTCAGTCCCTACATTGGCTTCCTATAAGATCAATTTAAAATTCTGGTTCTTGCTTTCAAATCTCTACATAATGCTGCTCCCACCTATCTATCCCCCCTATACACAAGTATGCCCGTCTAGGCCCTTACAATCTGCTGAAGACTTACGTCTATCTTCTGTCCGTACCATTCCTGTGGAACTCTCTTCCCTCCTCCGTTAGATGCTCACCCAGTCTCCACTCCTTCAAAAAATCGTTAAAAACCCACTTCTTCATAAAAGCGTATCAACTGAACTGTTAATAGCTCCCGACTGATTCCTCTTCTGCAACTGTCACTAGTCTAATACTATCCTTACCTTTTTGTGTCATTTTACCCCACTCCCTCTAGCATGTAAGCTCATTGAGCAGGGCCCTCAACCCCTCTGTTCCTGTGTGTCCAACTTGTCTGGTTACAACTACCGTACATGTCTGTTCGTCCACCCATTGTAAAGCGCTGCGGAATTTGATGGCGCTATACAAATAACATAATAATAATAACTGCCTTTTGTCACTGGCTTTTTTTGTGACCAACTGCCATTTGCCCCTGGCTTTTGGAGGAGCCTGATTGCCAGCCTCCTGCCTTATTACTAGGGCCCTGGGGTGAATGGCCCTTTAAAAACATTATTTGGGCATATTGGATTGTAACACACTTTTTCTGCCCTTTAATTTCATGAGAAAATGTGCCTCTAACCCTCCCCCCTCTTCCTGTCTCTTGTTTCTCCAGCAGGGTGTTGTCCCAGGGACACTGCCAGACCAGTTTAAACTGGCTGCTTTGTCCTTCCTCAGTCTCTCATCAGCCCTTGCTAAACTTTAACCCCATGGCAATTTTATTCTGTTCGTGGGATCTGAGCGCTGTTCAGATATATTGAGCGCTCAGATCCAAGCTATCTGGGCATAGGTTGAATGTGGAAGGTTCTGTTCAGTATAATAGGAATTATGTATTTTTATGTATTTTTACTGTTGTTGTAAATGGAGATATTCCCTGTAGCTGGAAGTAATTGTTACCACACCCACTTAAGCCAACTATCTCCAGGATAGAGGAGAAGATAGACCGGCTGCACAGCCTAAATCTGTGGAACTGTTTTGGGCATGAAAGCCATGATTGCAGTTGGTCGGTTAGGACTTCCACCTAACTTTTGAACCACTGGACCAATTTGTATTATTTTGACATATGTTTGTATACTGATTATGCTGGTTCAGAATATGTGAATTGCTATAAATATTGTGTAAATCTGTATATTTTCTTCCTGTGGTAATTAAGTTAACCCATTGTGTTCAGGAATTATATCACAGGCAGAAGGGAGGGTTTGTGTGCCTTGGCTGGGAGTGTCTGACTGTACTGTAATGTTTTGATTAGCTATTGTAACTGCATGTCCTGTATCCCACAAGGTCCACGTGGGTGGTAACCTTGTGGGAAAACTTGTATATAAGTGCCAATAAACCCTCAGACTGCTGAGTTCCTGTTTGACCCTCAACATAGAGCCTGGTCTCATGTGTGGGGGAAAAGGCTGCATCTACACTGGGGGATTGCTATACTCTGTATACTCCCCTGGCCATAATCACTAAGCTCTTTTAAGAGCTTGTTCCTGCTTCGCTCTCTGAAGGAAGAGAGTTTAACCCACTTGACAAATAAAAACAACAATAGAAAAGTCTGCGCCACATTAAATAATAAAAACAGAATAAAAATAAGCAAAGTCCAAATAAAAAGAAGTCCAACTTATATGTCCTTACGAATGGTCTTTAAGGAAGTTGGTGCAATGGTAGGGTCTTCAGATATAGTAGTGGTTCCACTTATATGGAAGATAAAAGAGAGGGATAACCAATAGTGCAATATGTATAGCTCAGATATGGACGTAATAGAAAATAATGGTAGAGAACTCACATTTGCAAGAGCTTATATCCAGCTCTGGGGTAAAGTGCGTACAGCGGTATAGTCCCCGCTTATGGGATATGTAGTGGGTACCTCTCCGTCACTGGTGTCCAATTCTCAGGAAAAAAGGAGACAGCCAATAGTGCTCACTGTATAACAGTGTCAGTATAAATTAATTAAAAACGTACTTACAAATAAAGACCGACTGCTCTGTGATATCAGCATAGGTGGATTAATCCCCACCTAGGATTTCTTGGGGTGCGGGAAACTTCCAAACGGTTATAAAACTTTCTTTCGGCAGGAATCATTCAGTCGCAAATCCCGATGATTTTTATTCTGTTTTTATTATTTAATGTGACGCAAGCCTTTTCTATTGTTTTTATTTGTCTTGTTTTAAAGAGTTTTGAGGGATTCCCCTTTAAGGGTTGCTGCCTATTAGTTGACCAGCGCTGTCTCATCCATGTACCATTAACCCAGCCTTGTCGTAGGTCCAGGGTGGGTAGGAGCCCTCGGGAAGCACTAGGAGCATCCATCAACGGAGGTACCCAGTCGGGGTGCCAGGTGATCCGTTACAAGTTAGTATCGGCTATTTTAGGTAGATGGGCTGCCTTAAAGGACCACTCTAGGAACCCAGACCACTTCAGCTTAATGAAGTGGTCTGGGTGCCAGGTCCAGCTAGGGTTAACCCATTTTTTCATAAACATAGCAGTTTCAGAGAAACTGAGGCGCTTGCGTGCTTCTCACTGTGATTTTCACAGTGAGAGCACGCCAGCGTCCATAGGAAAGCATTATGAATGCTTTCCTATGAGACAGGCTGAATGCGCGCGCAGCTCTTGCCACGCGTGCGCATTCAGCCGAAGAGGAGGATCGGAGGAGGAGAGCTCTCCACCCAGCACTGGAAAAAGGTAAGTTTTTACCCCTTTCCCCTTTCCAGAGCCGGACGGGAGGGGGTCCCTGAGGGTGGAGGCACCCTCAGGGCACTATAGTGCCAGGAAAACGAGTATGTTTTCCTGGCACTATAGTGGTCCTTTAAAGCAGCAGTGTTAGACTTTTCTAAAATTAGAATATGGGTAGAGGAGTCATTATCAGACTGGAGCAATTTAAATGGAGTCCAAGAAAAATGGGATTATTTAAAAATTGCACTATTGAAGGCAACAGAAAATTGCATTAGGCTTGTCAGTAAAAGCAAAAAATTCAAGAAACCACTGTGGTACTCCGCAGATGTGGCCAAAATAGTTAAAAACAAAAAGTTAGCATTTAGGAATTATTAAAAAACCCAGAGTGAGGGAGACAAAATGATCTATAAGATTAGGCAGAAAGAGGCTAAGCAAGTTATAAGAGCTTCCAAATCACACACAGAAGAGAAAATAGCACAGTCAGTAAAAAAGGGGGATAAAACATTTTTAGATACATAAATGAGAAAAGAAAAGTAAAACAAGGATTAGTTAGATTAAAAACAAAAGAAGGAAGGTATGTAGAAGAGGATAAAGGTCAGGCTGACTGCCTCAATGAATATTTTTGTTCTGTATTTACAGAAGAAAATGAAGGAAAGGGACCTCAGTTGAGAAAAAGGATAAATGAGTCATTTATTACACGTGAGTTTACAGAGGAAGAGGTTCTATATCAACTGTCAAAAGTAAAGACAAATAAGTCAATGGGACCTGATGGAATACACCCAAAGCTATTAAAAGAGCTTAGTGGTGTACTAGCAAAACCATTAACAGATTTATTTAACCAATCATTGTTAACAGGAGTAGTCCCAGAAGATTGGAAGTTAGCAAATGTTGTGCCCATTTACAAGAAAGGTAATAGGGAGGAGTCGGGCAACTATAGGCCAGTAAGCCTTACTTCAGTAGTGGGGAAAGTGATGGAAACCATGTTAAAGGATAGGATTGATGAACATCTAAAAACACATGGATTTCAAGATCAGAGACAACATGGGTTTACTTCAGGGAGATCATGCCAAACTAATCTTATTGATTTTTTTGATTGGGTAACTAAAATTATAGATCAGGGTGGTGCAGTAGACATTGCTTACCTAGATTTCAGTAAGGCTTTTGACACTGTTGCACATAGAAGGCTTATCAATAAACTGCAATCTTTAAGTTTGGATTCAAATATTGTTGAATGGGTAAGGCAGTGGCTGAGTGACAGGCAACAGAGGGTGGTAGTTAATGGAATATATTCGAAGCTTGGACTTGTCACCAGTGGGGTACCTCAGGGATCTGTACTTGGACCCATTCTCTTTAATATTTTTATTAGTGATATTGCAGAAGGTCTTGATGGTAAGGTATGTCTTTTTGCTGATGATACTAAGATATGTAACAGGGTTGATGTTCCAGGAGGGATAAGCCAAATGACAAATGATTTAGGTAAACTAGAAAAATGGTCAGAATTGTGGCAACTGACATTTAATGTGGATAAGTGCAAGATAATGCATCTTGGACGTAAAAACCCAAGGGCAGAGTACAGAATATTTGATAGAGTCCTAACCTCAACATATGAGGAAAGGGATTTAGGGGTGATTATTTCTGATGACTTAAAGGTAGGCAGACAATGTAATAGAGCAGCAGGAAATGCTAGCAGAATGCTTGGTTGTATAGGGAGAGGTATTAGCAGTAGAAAGAGGGAAGTGCTCATGCCATTGTACAGAACACTGGTGAGACCTCACTTGGAGTATTGTACACAGTACTGGAGACCGTATCTTCAGAAGGATATTGATACCTTAGAGAGGGTTCAGAGAAGGGCTACTAAACTGGTTCATGGATTGCGGGATAAAACTTACCAGGAAAGGTTAAAGGATCTTAACATGTATAGCTTGGAGGAAAGACGAGACAGGGGGGATATGATAGAAACATTTAAATATATAAAGGGAATCAACACAGTAAAGGAGGAGACTATATTTAAAAGAAGAAAAACTACCACAACAAGAGGACATAGTCTTAAATTAGAGGGACAAAGGTTTAAAAATAATATCAGGAAGTATTACTTTACTGAGAGGGTAGTGGATGCATGGAATAGCCTTCCAGCTGAAGTGGTAGAGGTTAACACAGTAAAGGAGTTTAAGCATGCGTGGGATAGGCATAAGGCTATCCTAACTATAAGATAAGGCTAGGGACTAATGAAAGTATTTAGAAAATTGGGCAGACTAGATGGGCCGAATGGTTCTTATCTGCCGTCACATTCTATGTTTCTATGTGTTTAGCTTATTTCACACTGGCTATATCTAGTTTATGAGGGGTTATTTACAGTTTTTTTAGCTATCTTTTCTATACTATTGGCTAATCTCTGTATCTTCAGGGTGTATCTTATATGGGACTACTTGTTCCTTCACTTATGAGCGGACCAATTTAGGTCTGCATACTTGTCTATCATCTATATATTATTAATTTGGCTCTCAGCACTTGACCATACGGGATATTATACTAAGGGCAATTTCATATTCAATTGTTGTTTTCCCGGCTGTCCTAGTTTCTCAGGCTGGGGTTTACTGCTTTGGATTACCCCATATATTCCAATTTCCTTTTCTTTCTATGGTTTCTTAAGGATTAGTTAAGCTGATTAATAAGAGAGTCACTGGTTAACACCACAGAGCCTTCTTTATGCTACGATTTCTGCCTATGATCCATTACACTGCCTTAGGATCAGTCTGCTATTCTTTATCTACATTTGTTATCTATTAGGTATTATATCACTTTCCTAGCCCCCAGCAGCTCAGAAGACTTAGTCGGGTGCTTTCAATTTGTATGCAATTTTGCAACATAGTATCAGGTTAAGTTCACCTGCTTTCTAGTCTATTCCCAAACTTGGAGATCATTCTGACTATCTGTATAGGATCCATCTGCTTGTCCAATTTTATTTATTTTCTATTTTTTTACTTTATCACATTTTTCTGGCAGTTTTTTTTGTGTGTGTTTTTGTATCATCCTTATAGGGATAGTTGTGAATTATACATTTTTAAGGTTTTCCCATTCCAATGTTGGACTAGTACTTTAACCCCTTAAGGACCAAACGTCTGGAATAAAAGGAAATCATGACATGTCACTCATGTCATGTGTCCTTAAGGGGTTAATAAGGGTAATAGGATTGGTATTTGGCTTGTTTCTTACTAGTCTGTATCAATCTTCTTATTGATAAAACATTAAATAATTTAAAAGCTTAAACAGCATTCAAATCAAGGCCTTAGTGAGAGAATCCATTATATGTATGTATGTATGTAGTGGCAAAAGTACCCTTGCCATGGGCTCTTGGAGGGGCCTGCTGTCCAGCTTCTTGCCAAAAGGCTATGGGCCCTTTAAAAACGTATGTGATTTATGTACTATTGTACTCCAGAAAGAGAGACCGACCGTTAGCACTAATTCCCTGGAACTGTTTTGGGCATAGGACCATGTGCACAGTCGGCCAAAACTATGACTTCCATGGAAATTCCAAACCGATCTGGGTGATTTTTGGCTATGTTGGTCCCCCAGATCAGGGCTATCAGGGGATGTGACTTTAGTGGGGTTTCCATGTGTTTTGGGGGTACTTTCTGGAGGTTGTTAAAATGTGTTTTCTGTGCCTGGAGATAATTGACTTTAGTATAGTTCCTGACTCCATTATCTCTCAGGCACAGGGGAGGGATTATCTTGTTTTGTGTGGGTGTCCTGGACCTGAGAGCCAATGTAATCATGTGTATGTTTTTGCCTTTAGCCTACTCTCAGGTCCTGTGGGGAATGCCCCTGGAATATGTAACCGTAAACCACTTGCATGGTGACTTTCATATAAGCCAGTTGTGGCTGCCATTAAGAGTTCCTGCTTACCCTGAACATATAGTCTCATGTGTGGGGGAGGGAAACAGATGTATCTGCTCAGGGGATTGCTATATCACTATACTCCCCTGGGTTATAATCGCTTGCTCTTGTAAGAGCATCTTGTTTACTCTCTGGACTAGGAGAGGTCCACCCACTGGAAGCTAGATCCTGGTCTTGGGTCCAGGGTGGATGGAGGACAGCGAGACCCCAACCAAGCTGTAATGCTGGCTGTGGGGTTAATGGTGTCCGGTGCGGTGCTTATGGTACTCAAGGATTACTAGGAAGCAGCGATTGGCGGAGGCCACCAGGTGGTCCACCATATATAATATTTTATATATATATATATATAATCTCCTGCACTCCACCAAAACCACTTTATTGCCTGGTGCTGTCCAGACAAAATACAAAAATATAAAAAAAAGGATAGCACTCCAGGGACTTGAAATAAGACTTAACTTTTATTACCTTATTTTATGTTACATGATTCCCTCAAGCTTTCATCAGGACAAATTTATATTTATTATAAAACTTGCTTTGATGATTCCTTATCATACTTGAATATCTCTGATAATTTCGTGAGCAATGGTTTACATTGCTTCTCTTTTGTGGTACCAATATGGTCTTGCTGTTTATCTGGCTGATCAAAAAAAAAAAACACTGGTTAGTCGTCTTCTGTATATGTCAGAGCTTTATACCAACCATAGACAGCTCTCTCGATTTAACAATGGTAATTTGTATGGTTAACTCATGCCCTAGAAAAAACCTACAGGCTGATTGATATTAGGATATTATGCATGAATGTGTGTCCTACTGCCTTTGGTCATATATGTAATATAATAACGTATGATTATTTTATTCACTGAAGGGAAAATAACAAATGGGACTGAAAATCTAATGCAGTGTGTGAAGAGTGATTTTTATCTAATGTATTTCAGCTGCCTCACCTTATCAATGGAAATTTCCCTGCGGACCCAGATAGAATTTCCATTATGGGGCACTCCATGGGCGGGCATGGTGCTTTAATTTGTGCCCTGAAGAATCCTGGGAAATACAAGGTAATGCTGTCATCCAAGGGGAAATGTGTGTAAATAACTACTGAACCAGACGATCATGCAGAATCTATGCTATTGAGCACAAGCACATTAACCCCTCTGTGATAAAAATCCAAACACTAAACGTATTACTCTATAGCGTTTGGCAGCAGTTGTTGGGGTTGTTTTTTTTTTTTTTTAAATAATTTCTGGATTCCTGTATTGATTTATTAGGCATTACATTAGTCGGGGACATAACTCCTCATGAAGTTGTATAAGTAAACACAATCAAATGGTTAGCAACATTCTACACCAGTGATTTATTTCCCACTAGGTTAAATGGACCTTTACTAGGACTCTGAAATTGAAGTGAGTGGCTTAATTTTTTTAAATTTGTTTTACTATTATTATTTAACGGCCTCTCCTGCCTCCAGATGTAGTTTCCAGATGCTTAAAAGGTCTTTGGGATTGGGTGTCTGTATTAGGAAATAGCATAACAAATTGTCTGTGTATAACGTACAGGGGAGGACAACTCATTAGAGGTTGTGCTTCTCTGATGGATGGGGGCAGCGGAGGAATAAAATACAAAATAATGCTCAACTGGATCAGGATTCACCAGTCCTGGTTAAAAGAGCAAAAGTAAAAAAGACTATAAGTGTAGTATTCAGGAGCTAATATTTAGAGTATAAAAGAGACAAATAATAAAAAGTGTCAGGGCTGTAAAATGGAATAGATAAAATGAGATTGATAAAATGATTGAGAGAACAAAATTATGAATTCTCTGCATCACAGGCACAACCTCCTTACCTACTACTTCTGTCGCAATAAATAATCAAACACAATTTCACCTTTATTTTTTTTGTTGTTATTAATTTAATATAAAATGTAGAAATTAACCGATGATTTGAGGGGTCTATACTCTAAATGTGTAAAAAAAAAAAAAAAATCCAAACTATTAAATCCTGGGTTTTCTCCTTTGTGCCTCCCAATTTCTCTTCTTCCCCCCCTCCCCCCCTTTGAATTAAAGTTTCTTATCTATATTACCCATAGTAAAATAAGAAATAAAACTTGTGCTCATGAAAATGTTAATTGCGATTATCTAGTATTTCAACCAAAAAACAAACAAGAGTCCTGTGCATCCAGTATAGGTGTGCACACCCAGGGGCTACCACAATTTATTTGAGGACAAAGTTAAAACAGCAAACGTTTCGAGCAGCAGCCCTTTCTCAATGCTAATGACATTAGCATTGAGAAAGGGCTGCTGGACATTAGCATTGAGAAAGGGCTGCTGCTCAAAACGTTTGCTGTTTTAACTTTGTCCTCAAATAAATTGTGGTAGCGCCTGCGTGTGCACACCTATACTGGATGCGCAGGAATCTTGTTTGTTTTTTGGTTGTATATACACTGTTGGGACTTCAGTGTGGAGTATCTGCAGCACAGGTCTAACTTGTTCTTTGTTTATATTTTGAATTTTGTAGGCATTTTTTGCCTCTACCTCACCCTATATATCTAGTATTTCATCATCATTTTATCTCTGCATAAGGGTTGCGTATCTCTTTGCAGTGTAGCTTGACATTTCTGCAGGATCTTAGAGATGAAGTGGTTAAACTGCAATGGCCAGGTCTATATCATGTATCTTGTTTTTGAAGAATATCTTGGTTATTTGTGCCCATAAGTATTTTAAGATTAGTATATTCCTGTAATTAGGTCATCTGGAGTATCTTTTCTTTTCAAGATGACTCAGTCTTTTCATTTAAAACTCCCACTGCTCATGTTGAATCCTCTGATGTATGTTTTGTGTTTCACTAATTAAGAAAGGATAAGGATAGAGAAAACAAGATATGAATAATGGAGCTTAAGTACGCCACACCGATTATTTTTATTGCAAGGAGAGATGATGCAGTATAGATTTTGAGACGTTTGATTCCATATTTTATTGCTTATATCTATATATTTATTATGTTGCCCCTTTATTTCAATAGAACTCTTCTTTGTCTACTCAAACATACTTATGTTCACCTTCTACATATCATAAGCTAGATGTTTTGAAAAAAATAATTCTGCTAGCAGTGACTTTGAAAGATCACTTTTTCATAACACTCACAGAATGCCTTGTAGAATATATTCAAGTGACCACATCTACTATTTTCACGCTTTAGCTATCCTTAGCCGTGTTCTGTTGTATTTAACATAGCGTTTGGAGCAAAACATGGATTAGGATCCAAATTAATTGTAAGGCCTAGTCACAGACTGCAATTAAACTTACTGGGTGTCCTAAATGTGGCATTGGCATGCCATTAGACCATAAATGGAATACATTTGTTGTAATGAAAACAGTGGTAGAAGTCTTGAAGAATAAAGTGGGTTTTTTTGTTTTGTTTTTTTATAAATCTGCACATTTTTATTCTGGATTTCCAAATGGATTATCTCTGGAGTTTTCATTTTTATAATGTTGCTTGTTGTTCTAAATAATTACTAGAACATCTAGTATTTAATTTTTTCTTCAGTTTTTTTGAAATGGCACTTTTCCGCAGAAACACATCCAGCAAAGAAGACTTGATTTCTTGGTGTGCCCTTTGGAAATTAATGTATTCTATTGTTGAAAGAAGTAATGAACTTTTTAATTTATTTATTTTCTTCAAAAATGTAACTTATTTATTTAGAAATGAATATGCCAGGAAGAATCCATTGTGATTTATCTTGTTTTAAAGTATGTCATTTACGAACAAATATTGCAATGTAGGAACAAGTTACACATTTAACATTACACTCTTAACCTATCACTGGCACCCAAGTCAATCCTTTAGAAGTATGGCGGCTGTCAGATTGGAACCTCATGCCTCCATAAATATAGCAAAATCTTGCTGTATTCAAGCCAGAAGCTGTAGATCTGCATGCTGTTTGCCTAAAAAACAAACAAAAAAAAACTGTCCGCTGACATCATCAGAAGTGGTAGCCTGATCCAATCACAGTGCTTCTCCATAGGATTGGCTGAGACTGACAAGGAGGCAGATCAGGGGGAGAGCCAGCATGATTCAAACACAGTCCTGGCCAATCAGCATCTCCTCATAGAGATGAATTGAATCAATGAATCTCTATGAGGAAAGTTCAGTGTCTGCATGCAGAGGGTGGAGACACTGAATGTTTGGATGCATTTTAGGCAGCCATGACCCAGGAAGGATCTCTAACAGCCATCCGAGGAGTGGCCAGTGAAGTTATCACTAGGCTGTAATGTAAACACTGCATTTTCTCTGAAAAGACACTGCTTACAGCAAAAAGCCTGAAGGTAATGATTCTACTCACCAGAACAAATTCAATAAGCTGTAGTTGTTCTGGTGATTATAGTGTCCCTTTAACCCCCTAAGGACCAAACCTCTGGAATAAAAGGGAATCGTGACATGTCACACATGTCATGTGTCCTTAAGGGGTTAAAGTTCAATTTGCAGAGCAGGATATAACGGTTAAAGTAAAATACATCTGATTGAAAATTTTTATTTCATTCAGGCTGTGTCGTTTACAGCCGGGAGAGGTGTGGCTAGGACTGCATATATAGAAACAAAATTGATTTAACTCCTAAATGGCAGAGAATTGAGCAGTGAGACTGCAGGGACATGATCTACCCACAAAAACAGCTTCATAAAGTTAAAGTTGTTTTGGTGACTATTGTGTCTCTTTAATTTTATTTATTTTTAATTTCTTACTTCCAAATGCAGGAGTTACAAAAATCTGTGTTTTCTTCTTTGAGACACCCTGTTTGCTATTATTAATTGTTACTGTTATATCTCAGTTTGGTTGTCATATGTATTCCTTATTTATGCAGTACATAAACCTAATCTTAAAATGTACCATATTAAACCAAGAAAAGAGACCAGGTAAGATGACAATTGTTTCAGGGCAAGGCGCTACATTTTGGAAATAAAGAGGCTCCTTCACCCCAAACTTGTCTTTTCCTCATCATTTCGTTTTCTCTTTTTCGTTCATAATTTGTTCTTCTTTTATTCCTTTCTCATACAAAGCTCTTTTGTATTTTCTATGCTTGACAATCAAGACAAAGGATGGAGTTTAAATCCAGTCCCACTTGCTTGGTCAAGAAAGCCTTTCTAAAATACTCACATTTCCATCCAGTTCCTCCTCGTATCCGTTCTACATCAACTGACCTGCATCAAGCACATGAGGGAATTAGATCCCGTTGCATACCCTGAGCAGACTTTTTTATAATTATTATACTGGGACTATTAGGAGTTGTATAGCGGGGGCAGCTAAAAAAAAAAAATGGTTTTGGCTGTGACAGGGTTTTAAGACCAGGTTTTTGGCTTCTGTCCCTTCCTGTGATGGTGTCTTTCCCTCTCATAATTTCAATACAATCCCTTCCATTGAAAGGAAGAATGTAATTTATCCTTCTATTGTCTAGGTAAATAGGATATTAAGGGTCTCTATTTGTTAAAGAATTTTCTAGTAGTATTATCTTTGTGCTAAGATTTTTCTGACTAGTTAAAATTGAAAATGGTAATAACTGTGGTACAGGATTGAGTGAAAGTAGGGGTGGAAGAAGGTATCCATTTGGAAAAGATGACTCACCACTGCTAGATGGTGTAGTAATGTCTTTGGATGAAAAGTAGGTATCCCTGTAATTTTCAATTAACTGAATATAGCTCATTGTGGGGCGAGTCAGTCTTGAAGAGATTGTATTAAATTTTTAGCTACCCCTCTGGATATTTGTACTATTTCGATCCCTATCCAGCCTTTGAGGAATGAAGATATAAAGGGCACCTCATAAATGTTATTGTTTGAGGTGCATTTTATACCGACAGACAGGGCTGTCACCTGTGTGTTATTAGTAAAAGTCACAGATTGTGGTTTGAATTGTAGCTAGATTAGAAGGAAATACTCAAAAATAAAACTTCAAATACACCTTGGTTTTGCAATGTGTTAGAATAATTGTAATCGTATTTATTGAGAATTTTCAGCAGTATAAAATTACAAACAATGTCACCAAGAGCCACTACAGCTGGTTGAGATATTTTATATCTATATTTTGTATTTCTTATTAGACTGTTTCCGCATTTGCTCCCATCTGTAATCCCCTACAATGTCCATGGGGGCAGAAAGCATTTACTGGATACTTGGGCTCTGACATCAAGAAATGGGAGGTGAGTTTGTAACACACCAAACACCTTTATTGCACACTAGTTGGAATTATTGTTGTTGGTTTTTAACCATATACAGGGCCGTCTTTAACACGGGGCAGCTGCCCGGGCTCAATTACTCCTGGGGGGCCAGAAGCAGCTGCACTGTGGGCCCCGCTGGCCTAAACCACCCCTCACCCCCTCCCCCCAGCCGGTAATCCACACAATAAGGAGGCCCACCAGGTGGCCCATGCACAAAGGGCCACCCGGTGGACTTCTGTCAGCAGGGGCCCGGTCGCACGCTGAGGTGCTTTAACAGCGCGACCGTGCCCTTTGCTTTTCAGCAGCCAGATGGGAGGAAGTGACGGCCACACGTCACTTCCTCCCACAAAGAGAGGAGCGCGCGGGAAAGAAGAGTAGGCAGAGTGGAGGGGGGCTGGCCGCACACCTTCAGCCACCAGCAGGGAAGCCAGCCTCCAAACTGGAGGGTGGGTTTAAAACTGTAAATTGTGTGAATGTCAGTATGTCTGTATGTGTCAGTGTGTGTGTCAGTATGTCTGTGTGTGTGTGCCAGTTTGTCTGTCTCTATATGTGCCAGTATATCTGTGTGTGAATCTGTATGTTGTCTTTGTGTGTTTCGGTGTATCTGTGTGTGTGTCTGTGTATTTGCATGTGTGTCAGGTTGTGTATCTGTGTGTGTATATGTGTCTGTATATCTACATGTGTGTGTCTGTGTATATCTGTGTGTATGCATGTGTTTCAGTGTGTATATATCTGTGTGTGTGTATATGTGCATACATCTCATCATTCACACACTAACAATACACAAAAATACACCCCTGCATTCAAAAACCAACACTACACATAAATACATGCTTGCAGTCACGCCAACACCACATACATATTCCATACAAAAACCTGTTTACATTCAAACACACAAAAACTGCTTAGTGCTAAATACAGACCTGCAAACATGAGTAAATGGTGGAGCCCCAGCTGTCAATGAATTTCTGGAGTTGCACGACAGATGGGGATCTACCTTTTAATCACCCGTGCGATAGAGAGGCACAAAAAAATGATTGCACCTCTCTACTTTAGGTCCGCCACTGCGTTGGGTTGCACGCCTGGGGAGGGGGACAGGGTCCAAGGGGCTACTTTGCCCTGGGTCCAGTCAGTATTAAAGATGGCCCTGACCATATACAGTATGCCTATATATCATATATACCAGTGGTTTCCAAACCTTTTAGGTTCAAGGCGCCCTTAATATTTCAATATTTTTCCAAGGCACCCCAAGTCAAAATTTCTAGGTTGTAAATCCGTATAGCGCTGCCGCATTTACTGGCGCTATAGTGTAATGTACAGTGTTGGTGTTTGAAGGGGTGTTGTATACATTTATTGTGTTTTAATTCAGGGGTGTGTTTGTATGTGATGTTTACGTTTGATTGCAAGGGTGTGTCTGAATATAATGTTCACATTTAAAATGTGGCTGTACATTTGTATGACGTTTTTGTGTTTGGGTGTGTTTGTATATTTTTTTTAAATGCAGGGGTGTGTTTGTATGTAATATTTGTGTTAGATTGCAGAAGTGTGCATGTATGTTGTGCCGGTGTTTGACTGCTTGGATGTATGCACATATATTCATGCACATTAACACATAGATGCATATAAATACACTGATACATACACAAAAATTCATATAGGCACCGACACATACACACACATAGATATGCACTCTGACACACTCAAACATTAATACATGCCCACACTATGAAACAGATACACACTGACATAAAAACACACACCCTGACACACAGATGCACATACACAGACACAGAAGCCCTGCAGGATGCCGGGAGGAAGTGACAGGCTGTCACTTCCTCCCAGCCGGCTTACATTACGGGGGTCCTGTCGCGGTCTTAAAGGACGGCGGCACTCGACCGGATCCCTGTTGAGCAGTAATGTTTCCCCGGTGCTATAATCATAGCACTGGGGAAATATTCCGCGGCACACAGTTTGGGAACCGCTGATATATACAATGAAAAACAAGGTCTTTGATGTTTAATTCCCTTTAATTTATATTTATATTGCAAATAAAACATTTTTTTAATGTAGTGATGTAATTTTGAAAGCCTTGGCTTCCCTTTGTGCGTTTTTCTCCAGTGTGGCTATTACAGCTGTGTATTTTACTTTTTTTTTTTCTTCTTCCTGAAGGCGTACGATGCAACACATCTAGTGAAGACTTACTCAGGCTCCCAACTAGATATACTAATTGATCAAGGTAAAGATGATCAATTTCTTGCAGCAGGGCAGCTTCTGCCAGACAACTTTATTGCTGCCTGCACTGAACGTAAAATACCAGTTGTGTTTAGATTGCAAGAGGTAAGTTGTATGAACTGATATCAGCAAAACTGTAACATCAAAGTGTACCCCATTTTATCTGTTAAAAGAAATGCCCTAACAATAACTGGAAATGGTTTTAGCACACCCAATTTTCTGTGTATATTGGGGGGAAACCACTTTGTGCTTGGCTGCTAGACTTTTCTTTTCTTTTTCACACGGCAAGAGGGATGGTGGACTTTTGCAGCCCTATCTACTAGTGCAAGTTACATAGATTTAATTTCCTGAATGCTGCAAATCTACCATAAATAAACCAAATGTTCATCATATAATGTGTACAAATATCAATTCCAAGTAGGATGAAACATTTGACATATCTCAGTAAAAAAGATTTGGTATACTATATTACTTTGTGATTGGTTAATAGATAAGTCACCTATTTTCTTGTGTTTTTGGTTAGATATAATAAACATAATAAAATTGCACAAACCATTGCCCACTAGTGTAAGCTGCTGTTTTCCTGCGGGCTTTCATTTACAAGCCTATGAGCGAGCTTCAGGGTCACCGCAGTAGTTGAAAATGATCTCCAAGTCTTCCACAGTTTTTTGTAGATTTTTTTTTAATTCTTCTACTTTCCCATTGTTTACTTAGAAATCATACTGCAAGGAAATTAGCTGAATTGTTTGTTGATATGGAGGAAAAACACAATGTCCTAAAGAACACAATTTGATATGTAGACTGCATGAAACTATTCGATAATTTATTTTCACATCAAGCGCTTTTGTGGAAAATATTTTAACCCATGTCCTTGATTTGTTAGGAGTAAGAATGCAGTGTTTGTGCTAAATGTGCTGGAGAGTGTCTTTGTTTCTTGCACAGTTTATATGTATCTCTCCATTAGGGGATTTACTTTGTATAACAACCCTTTGAATCAATGTTTATTGATTTAGTACTTAAAGGAATACTTGTGGCTGGAATAGCTAATGATTTGTTATTGCAACTCCTAGAATATAGGCTATTGATAATATGACGTTTTGTATATGTAGAACCAGAATGAACAGAGATGCAGATAGTAGTAGATGCATATTTGTTGATATAGTAATTAAAAACAGTGGAATTTTGTGTTTGATATTTGATGTGAAAAATAAAGCAAATGAGATCTAAAAGACAAGGTTTTGTTTTTAGAGCTTCCAATAAAATGATTTACTTATTTAGAAATGCATTTAAAAAGTGCACAGTATGCTTAAAATACAGTCCAAAAATCTATTTGTATAAAAAAAAAAAAAAAAAATGGAATCCTAATCGGTTAGCTATATATTATAGACACCAAACAACTTTAGTTTAAAGGGATCCTGTAGTGCCAGGAAAATAACCCTGTTTGCCTGACACTCTAGTCTCCTGTAGAGCCCCCCCACCCCCCCCCTCCTTCAGGCCTGAAGAAGTTAAAACCCCTTCAGCCATAACAGTGTGCCAGAAAAGTTGCCCTAGTCTGCCTGTTATTTAAATCCATCATATAATTCTAAATAAACTGTCTTTTGTTTTTTTTGTTTTTAGAGTAATCAATGTGCATTTAAATGTTTGTGTTTGAAATTTTGTCTTTGAGATCACTGGTAAAATGCATCTCTTTACTTTCTTGTTTCAGGGATATGATCACAGCTATTTTTTCATTACTTCTTTTATAAACGATCACATGAAGCACCATGCAAAGTACCTTCACGCGTGACATTTTCAGCGGAAAGCATTGCACTATTTTACCTAAAATGGAGATTAGCAACAACGGTCTTAAGTAGTGCATTGATTTGCATTTATAATCTGCTAAATCTGTCAATCAATTAAATTTGCCATTGGGATGAAGTTGTGTTGTGGTTTGAATTATTATTATTAGACTATGGAGACGTGATGTTTAAAGAAGTTGCTCCTGGCAAAATTTCCACAACTCTGGAACTTGAAGACTGTAAGCTTACTTAAAATTCTGTCATTTCAGTATGATTTACAAAAATGCAGAATTCACCAAAAAAAGTAGTTTATCTCCCAAAAGACCATTAATTAAAATGGAAGTGTTTCATATTTTTGTCTGTTACATAAATATGAGTAAAAGGTAATTGATAATAGAAACCAGGGCACTAAGCTGCTAAAATGGTTGATTCAATAAACTGGGAATTGAGAGTATTTTTTGTAGTTGTCTCTTTTGGTCTAAAAGTTGCATTTCTGCTAGTGACATACAGATCCCATGCTGTGATCAAAGCTAGTAGAGTACAAACAGAGTGAGACAGGCAAGATTAGAAACACTTTCACAGGAATGCCCGCTGTGCAGAAATTTGGCTCTGGGTCCCTTAATATGCATATTCTCCCCTAAGGCACAGAATGCTATTAGTGCACCCTGTTATGCATACTGGAGATATAACAATTGTAAAAAAAAAATTGAAAAATAAACAGGACCAGAAGATAATATAGAAGAAAGGAAGATAACATTAAAAGGAAAATGGCATATGCAGATAAAAGGTTGCATTTTCAGTATAAGTATTTGGTATATCACATACATTTTAGTCTAATGTTTCACATTTGGAGTTTGTGTTCCATATTCAAAACATCAAATGTCATCCACAACTGAATTTAGAATGAAATCTTTGCTTATAGTAACCCTACTGCCATGATACATCTGGTATGTTTTGCATATGCCACCTGTTCTGGAATTATGACTGTAATTTTTTAGCATTTTAAACATTTTTGTAGCATTTTGTTTCAAAGGTTTATAAACGTTTAGTGTTCTATATTTTCATGGTTAAATTTTTTTTTTTTATGGGATATTACACTGATCAGTCACATCATTAAAAACACATGCCTAATATGTGGATTTCCCTGGTGCTGCCAAAATAAGTCTGTGTTGAGGCGTGGACTCCACAAGACCACTGAACGTGCCCTGGGGTATCTGGCACCAAGACATTAGCAGCAGATCCTGCAAATTGCAAAGTGGGGCCATCATGGATTGGATTTGTTATTCCAGCACATCCCATAGATGCTTAATCTGAGATATGGGGAATTTGGAGGCCAAGACAATACCCTGAACTCTTTGTCATGTTCCTCAAACCATTCCTGAAAATGTTTGCAGTGTGACAGTATGTGTTATCCTGCTTAAAGAGCAACCATTGTTATTAAGGGGGGTATGTGGTACATGTAAAAGTAACTTCCATATGATTGCCAGGACCCAAGGTTTCCCAGCAGAACACTGCCTCCGCTGGCACTTCTTTCCATATGCATCCTGCTTCCAGCTCTTCCCCAGGAAAAACCAAACCACATGCACTCGCCATCCACCTGATCTAAAAGAAAATCTGATTCATCCGAACAGGGAACTCTTTTTCATTGCTCCATGGTTCACTTCTAAAACTCATGTCCCCCATTGAAGGCACTTTTAGTGGTTGACATGCGTTATCATGGGCACTTTGACTGGTCTGCAACTACGCAGCAAACTGATGCACTGTGTGTTCTGACACCTTTGTATCATGGCCAGCATTAAGTTTTTCAGCAATTTCAGCTACATTAGCCGTAATCTGAACAGACAATCTAGACATCGCTCCCAACATGCGTCAATGAGCCTTGGGTATCCCTGATTCGAACACCTGTTGTTCTTCCCTCCACTACTTTTGGTAGATATTAAGCAATGCCTACCAGGAACACCCCACAAGCCCTTATCAAAGTCACTCAGATATCTTCACTTAATTGACTGTTCACTTGATGTTTAATATATCCCACCCATTGACAAGGTGCCATTGTAACGATATAATAAATATTTACTTCAACTGTCAGTGGTTTTAGTGTTGTGGCTGATCAGTGTATTTTGACTGTTCTCGGCGGAGATGTTTTTATATGTAAGGCAAACAGAACTTGATATCTCTTTATGTATATATGCATAACTTTTTTTTATTATAAGATTAACTTCTTAAAGGACAACTCTATGCACCATAACTAGTGATGTGGATGTATTTAATTTTTAGGCTGTTAATTCCTAACAGGCATGTCAGTGCAATCCCACCACCCCATTCTTGACCGGCTAGTTCAGTTTGCTTACACACACTTTTCTGCAGCCATCTTTAATCTTGCATACACATAAGTCACTGCCACAAATGTATATATCCAAACAAGCAAACAGCCAAACTTATTTATTCACTCTCTACCTCCCCACCTTACCCGTGTTTGGACCAAGTAGACAGGCATGCATTTCTGCTTACGTCACCAGGAATGATTGACATACAACCGATACACTTTGCGGTTTTAGTTATGGTGAGAGGTGTCTGAGTTCTGTACCCTAATATTTTATATATTTTTTTGTCAAGCCTTTGAGCTTCACTTTCACATTATTCAACCAACCTTGGAGAGTACTGTTAAATGGAGAGTACTGTAAGTGGCTAAACATAGTATTAACAGTCTGGTTTTGCAGTCCATGGCTGAATGGATAATGCAATTGTAAAACTTAATAGGTGTTTAATTTAAAAGAAAAAAAGGGTTAGGCATCCAAAGCCTACCTGTACCGTAACAACTACAATAATCAGTAATAGTTTTGATGCTTGTTAGTTTCCCTTTAATATTGTGACTGTCCTTTACCTAGTCTCTTATAGTTGGGTATTAAGCCCTTCCTAACTGGAAATACAAAATACAACCACCCCAGACTTGGTCCACACTTCTCCCTCACCACTTCCTGGAATCCTAATATATATATCTCACAAATATAATTACAGGTGCATGGCTGTTCCTATAGACCAACTTAAAGTCCATTTATTCTTTATTTTTTTTATTAATATTGAGGCCTTTAAAATGAGCATTCCAAGAACCGTAACAGCACACTGTAGAGGTTATGGTACAAAGAATGCCCTGGCACTCCTCCATTGTTTTAGAACAGTTTGAATTCTTACATGGGATCTTCTAGGGTACGCTTCATTCACCCAGCAGCCATTGGCGAGTGTGCCATGGACCCTCCAGTCTTCTAGTGGCAAGAAACTTTTAGGCCTGCCTAGTGGTGTAGTTCTTCAAATCATGAGCCCTGATATATGATGCATAGTACAAGAATCCACACATCAGCATTTTAAAGCAATTTTTATTTTACAGCGTAAAGTATTGCAGGATAAACATTTTAAGACATGAGCAATATTTGTGTTCTCTGGAACGATCATTACAAAGCCATTGTCCTATATATACATGTAAAAAAATAACTTTGATAACTGTACTTTTCCTTTTATTACAGCCATCATTTTGTCTACTCTTACATTCAATCTCTGTAATTTATCATTCTGAAGTTTTCCGAACATTTCTTTTTATTGATCGCGCTGCTCCTGTGATATGCACAATCATACAATAATCAGTGTAACCCACAGAAAATTCGAGTCAAATTCTACTTTTTTTTTTTTTTGTAGATGTCTGACCTGCATATGTATCTTTTGATTACACTCATACATAAAAATGTAGAACCATTGCTGCATACATAGAGCAGCCCATTTAGAATGGCACTATGAACAAACGCTTACCTTAAATAAACACTATAGTGTTAGGAATACAAAACGGTCTCTGGCATCAGCCACCAGAGGTTGCCTTAACCCTGCACTATAAACATTGTAGTTTCTCTGAAACTGTAATGTTTTGTATTGCAGAGCTAAAGGGACAGGGACACAGCACCCAGACCACCTCAATGAGATGAAATGTTCTGCGTGCCTTTAGTGTCCCTCTAACATTAGTGATTCTTATTTGTTTGATTTTTTACCATTCGACTTACCTCCTTTGAGACTACAAGGTGATCTTAAGGTTTAATCGGAATTGTAGTCCACTTATAGCTGATTGGCTGCCACAGGTTCTCTGCCAGATTTGTTAACATGTATTAAAGGGCCAATGTATGCACCCATTGTAGTGGTCTGGGTGCAAACTCCCATCACCCTTAACCCTAGAGTGGTAATTATTGAAGTTTTTATAAATTGCGATAGTTACCTTCTAGGGTTAACTCCTCCTCTAGTGGTTGTCTACTTCTGGGCTTGAAGGAGACTTTTGGTCGCCTAAACGACACTGGATGTCCTCACACTCTGCATGAGGACTTCCAGCATCACCGGAATCCCCATGAAAAGCATTGAATAATTATTTCAATAGGGAAATCCTAATGCGAGTGCAGCCATTATCGTTCATGCGCATTAGGTCTCCCTTGCCTGCTGACGAGGGGGAGGAGCGTGGGTAGAGCTGAGCCAGTGCCAAGGGACATAGTTGCTGGACCAAGGTAAGTTACAGAAAGGTGGGCCTTGACAGAGGGGGAAGCTATAGTGCCAGGAAAACGTGTTTGTTTTCCTGGCACTATAGTTTCCCTTTAACCATGGACATTTAGTAGTTGTGCAAGACACTAAAATGGTGCATGCAACAGAAAGAAGTTATTGTTTCTCAATTATCTGGGTGATATTTTCCAGAGCAAATTATCTCAATATAAAAAACAAACCGTTCTGAGGCAAACATCTATAAATGGATCCATTGCTGTGGAAAAAAAACTCCCCTGTTGATTGTGCCCCATTTCGAACTTGGCCTACAACTGCTCTTCATAAATTACCCCCCCAACCCCAAGTATATCTTATAATCAAAATCTGATTTCCTTGACATTATAGTCCACACAAAATGTACATTTTATGCTATACATACTGGTATTCTTGGTCTTCGAGCACCAAAGACCTCCACACCTGCACCAGATCCTAAAGCTGAGCTGCAAGCAAAGCCACTGCAGGCAAATGCACTTGCGGCCCCCATCAAATATCAAATGCACCTCAACCACTGCAGCAGTCATTTTAGAGGAGACAGAAGTGATCTTCATCTGAGTGTACATTTTAATCTATACCTATTGTGTAGTTTGTTTTTATAGCTTGATGTATAGATTAAGTTTGTATACCTACACAAAGTTAGTTGGCTCCTCCAAGTTTTATAGATAAAGTCTGTTTAATGAGTCTGGGTTCATAAATTTGCATGTCTCTCTCATGATTACAATTCCTATATTCACAAAATCATCAACATTTTCCTTTACATTTCTCCAACATTCATTATTCCTGTGCTTCTATACGTCACTTTATTCACATGGAAACTGTGGTTGCCTCTAACTACATACCACATTGTGCTTTAGAAAACTTCTAGTTAAAATCATACAAAAATTGTTTTTTAGTATAAGGGTATCAATCAGCTAGTTGAATTTGGAACTTGAAAGCATATTTAAATAAAACTATGAATCTATGAAAATCACATTTCTTGGATTTTTCATTTTGTCATACAGTTTAAAAATTCCTTTGTCTGCAAAAGCAAATAAAGGAAGTGTGCAAGGTACCCTGTGATGTAATTGGCATGCAAGTTAATATCCTATGTTATTCCCATGGTACCCACCGATCATGCAACATTATCTGGTATGACATCAAGCATTGTTATACAAATATTCCAGGGGATAAGTTTGGCAGGTTGTTTAAATAATGATGCTTTATCTTTCAGTGAACTAGTGTACTGTCAAATGGTAGATGGATATTTAGATAACAAATCTATATGTAGCTCAGTCTTAGTCTATTAACCTACATACTGCAGCTCATATGATTAGAAAGAAAAGCTTTTTTTTTGTTGTTGTTGTTTTTTAATAACCAATGCATTAAATGCGTTGGAAGCTAGATTATTTTACTGCAAACCAGAGGTAACGAGTTTGGCAGAGTAATACCACAATATTTTTAAAGCTTGCTTAAGTGCTTGTGTGGTTTTTTTTCCCCCCTTTTTTTATCACCATGTTACAAAAAGTGCAGATTTCAATAGAAATTGTCACATTTATAAATCGTGTTACAAACCCTGGCTTTCCGACATCTGGTCCAGCCACTTCCTGGCTTGGTTAGCTCAGTGGAGCTAAACTCCAGAGGCAGCAATTGCACAGAGCACCTGCCTTGCAAAGACTTCTCATTGAGCTGCATTGCCAGTCTGGGATTGGACAGTCACACAAAGTCTGGCCACGTTTAGAAGGGGAGGGCTTGTAAAGGCTTCAGAGAAGAGATCTGCAGGTTTTGTAAGCGGTTTTTAAATATACCCCCAAATTTTTAAAATCCATAATTAAGTGCATGCATGTTTTCATTGGGAAAATATCTACTAAATAGTGTGTTTTTCTTTGGGCAGTGGAATGTCCCTTTAAGATTCCTGGCCAGATGACCGTTAGATTTAAAAAAAGTTTTTAAAAAATGTACTTTTCATTTAACGCTGCTTCTAATTTAGCTGTCTGAGTAAATCCTCTGACTCCAAAGGGTAAAGAGAGGACTAGGAAGAAGCAGTTATGCAAATCCTATAAAGGGTATTTAATAGGGCTGCTTCAAATGACATAAAAGTAAAGTGAAATTTGCAAGATATACATTCTTTTAGGATATATATTTTATGTTACAGAATTGTTCAATCAGATGTCAGATATAAAGTAGAAACAATCAGTATAGATCAGTGGCGTACCTACCATGGTCGCAGGGGTCACAGCGGCAACCAGGCCCGTTACTGCAGGTGGGCCAGTCGGGAGGCACAGCCACTTCACTTATAAGTGGCCCCAGCCACCTGAGGGCCCCGCAATAAGCACACAGACCCGGTCAAAGAGATCTTTTGATCTCCCTCCCCGGGTCTTCGCAGATTTTGCGCAGCAGGAAGGGGAGGAGGCTCTCTGCCTTCAACTCCAGGCTGAGTCCAGGCTTTCCAGGCGTTGCCGTGGTAACCACTGCCACGCTCGATTCCACGTGGTGCCGGGACTCGTGGGAAGAGCCTTAACCCGGCAGAGATCCTCTGCAGCACCACCAGGGAATATGCTGCCTCCGCCCTGGATACTGATAGGACACAGGGAGGGGGAAATATATTAAACAATTTTTTTTTTTTTTATTACAGTAAAATAAATATTAACAAAAAGATGCTCCCTTTTCAGCCCCCACAGCCCCTATCCTACCCAGCAAACACTCTCACATACAATGCATCTCTACACACACACGCGCGCGCACACACAATATGATTCCCTACATACACACACGCACACACAATATATCCATTACACACACAGAAACAAACACTACTTACTTTACAGTAGTGGGGAGAGAATTACATATATGGACGGAGGGAATGACACACATGGGGGGGAGCTGGGACGGAGGCAATGACACACTTG